AGATCAGTTGCCATCACCAGCTCCAGCCCATGTTTCTAATCACTGAGTCTTAGAGGTCCCAGTCGTTAAAATAATTTAATTTTTTTGTCCAGTAATTAAATTGAGAGAATAACATTTCAAGTTGGAGCCTCAGAGGAGGGACCCTGAACAAAGGAACCCCTGGGCTTTCATACACTCACAGGACAGTCTGGGGGTCATCAGCTCCTGCTGTGTCCCCGAGTGTCCCTCCCCTGGCAGGGCCGCGGGTCTCTTTGTTGTGCTAAGGGTGGTGGTTCACAGCCTCTTGCCTTGGGCTGGGCTCCACCAGTGCCCGACCTGCAGCTGCTCCTGAGCCACCTGCACTGGATGGATTCCTCACAGTGAAACAGTGAAACAATACCTGGTCTGTGTGCTGCAATTTCCTCTATAAATAGGGGATAACTATAGTTAGATAACTATACTAAATATTTTACAAACCTGAGGTAAAAATAACGTAAAATAGCAGCAGTGAGCTTTTTTTCAGAACAGAAGCATTCATCTCTTACATGTGCCATCGTGACACTACTGTTCCCTGTGTTACTAAGTAAGTTGTTTCCTGCAGTTATCAGAATGTCTGGTTTGACTTGTGCTGAAATTTTAGTTCTGTATTGAATAAACAGGAAGGCAGAAGTTCATCAGTAGTCTAGTTTCCCATTTTATCGTAGCAAGGGAACCACCAAGAAACAAAATTTATGGAAAGATTCTGCCCATACACCAAATATTTCAACCTCTGTGCGTTTTAAACTTGGAAAATAGTGTGGTTTTCCTTTTTTTATCATTTGCAATTTGATTTTTTTGAAAAGATTTTTGAAAGCTAAATAACGTTTTTTTGTGCGTGTATGTTTAGCCTAAAATTTACAGTGGTCAGTGATCCCCCAGAAGATGAACAGGATCTTGAATGTGAGGATATTGGGTTTGCTTATGTCAGTTTAAAAGAAATATTCCAGAAGCAAAGAGATATCATTGAGCAAGATATTGATGGTAAGTTTTAAACCTCACTTTCTTGTAAACTTCCGTAGCCTAAAATTCGTTGAATTTCTGCTTGGCTTTGCAGGCGTTTCTGTGCAAGTAATTGTTTGACCTTGTTTCAGTAAGAAATTCTTTAATACTAGCTAATAACTTCTACATTTGTTTTCAAAAGTCTGCAAAAGCTATGTATTAATATTATTCCTAAAATTCTGTTAAATAACCCCAAACGGAACAGCATTCTCACCTCATAGAAATTAGTTTATAAAACCTAAGAACTTTCAAGCCGTGTCCACTGCTATAATTCTCTCTTTTCTACAACATACTTCATTGTGGTAGGACAATAAATATGTATTTTGTATAAAAATTTGTTTTGTATTAAATTTTTTATCAGCAATTTGGTATTTCTAACGTCTGTATTTTATTGGAAATTACGTTATAACCCCAAGTATCTCAAGTCTGTTTCCTCCGTATGAAACATGTATGAGACAATATGAAATATTGGTGGTTTTGATTAGGAATCAGTTTTCGTGAGCACCCTTCTGTAACAGACTGTGACCAAACTCACTGTGATTCATTAGACAAGGTGATGTGACCATATCTCCCACTGTCATAATTCCCATTTGATAAGATTGATTAGTTATGTAAACATAATTTCTGAAAGTCACTTTTCACAAAACTCTTAAAATTGCTAATCATCATCTGAGAGAATTATTAGGACCAGAAGGACTGGGTTTTATTACGGGTTACTGTAAGCTAATCATTACCAACAACTACTTCAATATTGTGAGGAGCATTTCTTCCTCTAATTGTCAGACATTTGAACTAATTTTTACTTCATATTAATTATATCTATGAAAGGGATAATAATGGCTAGAAATACTTTTATTCCCCTTTCCTGCATATGCTGTACAGTTTTCTTGGGATTTTTATTGCATCCATAACATATAAACTTGCATATTTTCTGAAAATTAAGATGTTTCAGAGAATTTTAATCAATTTTATGTTTAAATATGCCAGGTCATGGCAGAAAAATATATCTCTATATTTTCTTGGATGAAGGTGTTGTAAAAGGATCAGTTCTTCAGATCTGGACACAGATGTCAATTAAATGTAAGGGCACAATAAATACAATTCCTAAGTAAGTGTTGTACACGTTCTCTGAGTTGGATGTTGGTTTAAGGAAAAATAATAAACCTAAACACAGGGAAATTCATAGGACACCACCGCATGAAGACAAAGTCATTCTTAAGTTAGATACTAAACTTCCTTTATTCTTTTTGAGGATTGCAACCATGTATCTTTTTCATATTTTGTTCCTTTCATTGCTGATTGTGTGAAAGTGGTTTATGTGAAATTTGAAACAATTAGGTGAATGGCAAAGGAAGAAGAGGGATGAAAAATACTATAGTCAAAACATCTAACAGTATGTCTCAGAGACAATAGGACAGCAAAAAAAGTGGAAAAAAATAATTAGTGTTATCTTCTAATCTAATTAACTACAACTACCCTGCTCTTCTTTTAAGTAAAAAGGATACAGAACCCTGAAGTCTGCTCTTGAAGTTGACAGTTCGCTGAGTAATCGATTTGTTGAGGCTAGTTTGGACCCATCCATTATACACAGTGTAGAAAATGCATTAATTGATGTATTTTTATTTAAAACTATTCCTATATATGTAGATACGTCTTTAATAGAATTTGGAACATCTTTATTTACATACTCTGAAAAATAATAATTTTATATAGACAAATATTATATCGATAGTTTCCTTTTTAAATTAATTTCAACACTAATACTTTTATTGATGTCTATTCTAGTTCTAAGAGCAGTCAATTTCCAGTAAACTGAGGACCTGAACTGCAAGATTATTTATTTATTTATCTATCTATCTTTTTTATTTTCATATGCTACTTGCCCTATAATCTGTCCAAACACTAAGGAAAATTATCAAAACAAAAGTGAAATCTTATGTTAAATACCTAATGAGCTAATGCTGTTTTCTGATGTTTCCTTTCTAGTTTTCGATTCACAAGATTCCAGTGCAGTAATTGGAAAGCTCACAGTTACAGTGGAAGCCCTCAATGCACTGCGTTCAGTCCATGAGGAATGCAAAAATTGTTAGGAGGCAGGAACGGGACATTTGCCTACTGAAGTTCTTGCTTCCAGTGTAAAGATACACTTGATGGTACGTCAAAAATTAGATCTTTGTCATTCTTACAGTATATTTAATGTAAAATGTATATGAAAAAGATGCTTGATGTCTCCAGTTACAAAGTTTTGTACGCTTTTCAGTCTGTTTTCTTATTTTTAAGGTGAATCGTTCTTCAGGCTCTCAACACTCTAATATCACAGTGTAACTTAGTTCTTACAAAGTTTGGTTTCAAATGCAAGCTTGCTTGTAAATTATCAGATAACAGTTGAGGGTATTTTGTCTAAGGAAGTAAGTGATGGTGAACCTTCAAACAGAAATGCTGGTAGATTCTTACTAAGAGTAGTTCTAGCACAATACTCTGTCAGAATACAATCATTCGTGTTAGAAGTGACCTCAGGTAGTTTTTAGTCCAGTCACTGCAGGATTAGGTATTATGTTAGGCCGTGTTGCTCAGGGCTGTATCTAGCCTGGTCTGAAAACCTCCAAAGATGGGGAGTGCTTAACTGCTCTCTGCACAACCTGTTCCAATGCCTGACTCTTCTCACAGTGAAAAAAGGAGATGCATTTCTACACATTATTTCCATCCATACTGAAGCCAAAGCTAGATCTAAGCACGTGGAGCACAGCTTTTTCACTTAATGCCCCATCTAATAATTTAATTTGTTGTTTGCTTTTTTTTATTTTTAGGGATGGCATGTATGTTATTTGTTTCAGCCATTTAACATTTGCACAAAAATAAAGGTAACCAAGCATTTTAGTGTTGATTGTCATGCTTTGCAGTATGCCATCAAATTTTCATCCAGTTTTGTGAAGCAGTTGACAGAAAATAGAAAATAGTTGTTATTGTTTTCAATGTGATTTGCTCAGGTAATGATTCTGTAGATTTCAGTGATAAAAAGTCGGTTATGGTTTATTCCTGGGTTCAGAGGTTTTTTTATATTTGGCTTAGATTATTTTAAGAGTAAGGGTAGCTGCAACAGTGCAAGACAGGTCTTCCACGCAATTAGCAATTATTTGTTCACATTTTTGTGGATTTGGAAAATAATCTATTTTCTGTTTAGACAAACTGTCATTCCTGTTAAATGCAGAATTATTTCCGTATTATTAAAGTCACAAAAACTGAACCATTCTTGAAAAAATGTAGCGAAAATGTGGTCCTTCTACTGCTACCAAAAAAAAATCAATAAAGTAAACTCTCTTTTGTTTATTATAAACCAGTGGTTATTCTGATTACCTACTCGTGAGTATAAATAGCTCCACAAGCTGACAGCCATTGACTTTAGTGGTAATGAACAACCACTTTAACATGAGGAAGAACTTCTTTACATTGAGGGTGGCAGAGCACTGGGACAGTTTCCCAGAGAGTCTGTGGAGTCTACTTCTCCAGACACATTCAGGACAGAAACCTCCCTCAACACATTCCCGTGCTACTTCCAGGTCACTCTGCCTTGGTGGGGTGATTAGACTAGATAATCTCCAGAGCCACCAATTTCCAACCACCAATTAACTATTCTGTGAATGTATTTCAAATCAATGCCTTTTATTGAGGATAGGTAAAGGTAAGAGGTTGATGTAGCTGGGCCTATGGAATTTGCAGATACTTAAAGGGCTAGTGCAGGTACAGTGGGGCCAGCCAGACTCCTTTCAGTTGTGGCAGACAGTGTAGATGGGGCACAAAAGCCAGACCTTGTGGGTTTAGTGGGCTCTGGTAGGGTTTTGGGGAGAATTTGTTCCCCAGGGGGCTGGTGTGCTGGGAGGGGAGGGGGAACAGCATGGAGGGTGTGGGTCCAGCTGGGCTCCATGACCCTTACAACTCAGGCTATTCTGAGTTTCTATGCATAACACGTTTCAAAAATACTATGAATCTTGAACATTCCTTCTTTAATAAAGTTCAAAGATTAAAGCAAATACAATAATAAAAAATATTTATCCAGTATTCATGTATTAATGTGTCCTTTTTTTTTTTTTTTCCGGTTTTGGCCAGGCTGTCTTTGTCTCCTTTTATTATCTTCAGTACTAGTGTCATTGTCACAGCTTTGCCATTTTCTTTCTTTCATCCTGCTTGGTGCACTTGACAGTCACTTGGATATGGCCAGTTTAGGAGAACTCTGTGTAGTCTTGAATTGTGCAGTTTGATTCTGATAGGGAGAAAAGGATAAGTCTGAAGGTACAGCTAATAAGGCAGTTGTTAACCCATTGGACTTTTTGCTGTGTACTGCTATGCTAAAACATGGTACATTTAGAGAAATAGAAACTTGCATTGTTAACATTGTGAAGAGGAAGTTTTAAAGAACTTAATTTTGCATGCATTATGACTTATACAATTAAAAGACCAACAAACTATAAAATAACAGAATGTTTGAGAATAAAGCTATTTTACAACAACAACTAGTATAGTTCAGAAAAGTAGACAAACTTTTCATGGCAAAGTTAGAACAAAGACCTAACCTGATTTAAGGATAAATTTCCAGCTAAACACATAAGGTAAAAAACATAGTATTCTTTTAATTTCTTCACCCCTATTCTATTTGTGTTTGATAAATATTTGTAACTGTAGTGCCTATTGGTACTGTAAAGGCATGCACATCTGCAAGTTCTTCAAACCTGGTTTAACCAATTTTAAAGACAATGTGGAACAAAGCATTCCAACAAGGACCTTGAAAGATTCCCAAGTGAGCAACTAGCTTGGCACCCTGCCAAGGCAAGGTCATGCTAGTGATGAGATCACTTTCTGCTGAAGCTTCAACAACCTATCATGTAAGACACACTGCAATACCATCGTCTCTGGCAAGTGGAAAATGGGATGAAGTTGGTTGTGTGTGCTGGTCTGCCAACTCTGATCTTGCAGTGTCTATGCCTTGTTACTGAGGAGTAGGTTCATCAGCAAGCACAGAGGATAGGATGGTGCACTTGAGCCTTCCAAAAGGAGTAGAGGAGATGGGAAAGTTGGTACAAGCACCAGCTCTTCTCAGGGCACAGCCTGGGAAGATGGGAGGGCAGGCCCTCACCCCATAGGTGGGGAACAGATTCTCTCCATTTTCCTGCTCGGATTGCAGCCAACAAGGGTAATTGATCCAGATTGCCCCCCTTATGTATTTCCAAGGGCTGGCCAGTCCCTGGTCAGACTGGGTGAACAGGACTGTCCACAGTTGGTACCTCACCTTAAAGGCTGGGTTTCTTCAGTCCTACCAGTCCACAGACTCATCAGATTCAGAAGCTTCATGATGTGTTTGGGGAGTAGGTTTGATGCACAGGTTTCCACCTGAAGAGACCAGTTTCCTTGCTTTGTGAATTATCTCAGACGAGATTAGGGTGATAATGGTCCGGTGCACCAGTCTTGTAGAGGGGAAGTGAAGTGTGGGTTCTTGTCATCTACTGCTGTGAAAGTAAATCATGGAGAGACCTACACGGGCATGTGAAGGTTTAGAAACCCTCAAACTGTTGTTTCCCGAACTTGGCCATTGGTGATCGATTGAGTTTTAGGCTTGGTTTTAGCACATTTCAAACTTCTGCTGGGCATTTCTGAATCTCCCAATTCAGAAATTCTTCCTCCCAGAAGAACTAAGAGATTTCCCTATTAGCTGTATGTGAAGAAGCTGTTGTTTGCGTGATTGTAGTCCAATGAGGTCAACTTGTCTCACCATTTGGAAAACAGTGCAGGAGAGAGCTTCGTAGACTTCAGCATTTTTAGCTTTCTTAAGCTATATATACCTTTAACATATTCTTGCAGGAAGATAATAGTTTGGTTTGGTAGATCCTGTTATTAGAGGATCCTCAAGTGTCCTAATACTGTGCTTATAGCACATTTTGAAACCTGAAGTAAGCACTGTTTTTTGCAGAAATGTAAAATGCATTCCACTTCATAAAAACGTTCCTGAATTTTTAACACAAACTCACCACCTCTTGAAAGCCAGGGTGATCGTGAAGTAAACTGTTGTTCACTGGCAAAGGAGCAACAGGAAATGGACAATTTCCAGAAAGCTCTTGATGCCTAAAGGAAAAACAAGCCAATGTACAAAGGCTGAATGTCCACCACATACTGCTTATCAGAGTGCTGAGACTTAACTCTTGGGCTATAATGAGAATATCCAAGAGGACAACTGAGATATTAGCAATAGGACTCACATGGAAAAAAAAAAAAAAAGATAAAACAAAGGAAATATACCCAAAGGTTTAATTAATGAGCAATCTTCATATGTGCACACAAAAAAGCATACTAGATTTCACCATGGGAGTTCAGCTTCAATACTGAATCTGGGCTGTTCAGGCTTCTATTATAACAGGTTTATAACTGTGCATTCATATGTATGATATATGTATGTCATATAATGACGTGTCACATATGACACAGGTATGACATATAAGCTGCTTATGCTTATACACACATAAAATGCAGGTGCAAACTTGGTGAGGGTGAAAAAAAGACTGTTGTCAGATTTTGTTCCCCAGTGATTGAAAACATTGTTGGTACGAAACCCAGGGTTCAGTATGTTCTCACAGTCCTGAATATTGCAGAAACAAATAAAGAATGGAAAATTGAAGCTAACTAATCATCTGGCAAGCTAAACAACCAAACATTAAAATTAACTGCAGTCTGTTGCAAGCCCTCAGTAAGGACGCAATGACAAGATGCTGTTTTGATGAAAAACCTCAAGATTGCTCTACCACATCAACTCACTTTCTTTATACAATTTTTAAAAAAATTATAAGCTTCATTCACAGGTGATCTTTGTTACCTGTCTGGAGGAGAATCTAAGTCAACATGGTGTTCAAAACCATCTGTACAACTGTCTAGTTCTGGTGAGTGAGAACTCTCTGAAAATAAGACAAGAGTGAATTGTCATGACTATTCAGTTATGGCAATTCAATTAACAAGTTAAAAACCACAGGAAGTGTTTTGTGTCATCTGTAGTGTGCTAGTAGACCTAAGGTAGTATACAAAGGTATGGTGCCATTTCATGGCAGATAATCATCTTGCAGCTTGAAAGTGTTAATTTCTCATTTATTCACTTACAAAAACACAAATCAGGGCTGTTGAAGTAATGAAGAACAGCATCGTCCACTCAGTTACAGACACAGGAGATGCTTCTGATTTTAGGAACCACAGATATTCTGCTTAAACCCAGCAACTGCTCTGCAGAGCCTTTGAAGGAAGCAGCGGCACAGCAGGAACATGGGTTGCAAACAATGCCTGATTGTTGGCTTGCTTAAAGGTTTAATTCCATATACATAAAATTAAGAATATTACTTTGAATTTAATATATTCTTTGAATTAAAATATCTTCCCTTTAAAACAAAAGCGCTGATAACTCTGTGGCTTTAGTCTCAAAATTATCTAAGAGGTCAGTAGTGGCTGGCTGTACTGAATCAATTTTTTCTGTCAGACTGCAAGGCAAAGTTACACCCCAATTCCTAAACGTAATCTGGCATGGAAACCTAGATTGCTGTTTTCCATACAGCCGTGTCTGACACAGCTTGCAAGTTATGCTGTTTTGAACCAATCGATTGTATTCCCTTAGTAAACAACAACAACAACAACAACAAAAAACAAAAAAAAAAAAAACCCGACGTATGCAAATTAATTTTTTCCAACTACAAATTGTTATCTTTGTAAAAGAACTGTAGGATTCAAAACTGTTCTTTAAAAAAAAGTTTAAAAATTTACATTTAAACTTTACCATTGGGACTATGAAACATACCCCTCCAATACTGCACAGTAATTGGTCTTCCATACAAATGGATTCCATCCAGCAGAGCTTTTGCATAAGGCACTGATACTTTGTGTTTAAAGCAGACATATCCAAAAGACTTAGGTTTTCCTTCTTTGTCCTCACAAATTGTCACTTTGGTTAATGGGCCAGCCTGAAAGAAATTTCTGTTATTTAGCAGACACTGATACTCCACTGTGTTTTAAGTATTTCATTATTTCTCTTCGGCCACAGTCAGAAACTGTAAGTTCCTTACTTTGAAAATGTCTCTCATTCCCAAAGCTCAAACTCTGAGCCTTCTACAAGCAAAAGTCAGCTTTCACAAATGTTAAAAGAGAACCAAGCATCAGCTCATGTTTAGTCTTTCATAACCAGAACTTTTATTATTTTTACAATCCCATACCATAATAATTAGCCTCCCAAACGGGAAGACTAATTTACTGACTCCATTGCAAAAGTTACCTTCCAGTTCATAAATAAAAATATTAATAATTTAGAAGTAGCAGTAGATACTTGCTCATCATTTGATGGAGGGGAAGAGCTAGAGGTCAGGGGTGCATGTTTAGAACTACACCATAGCAGGAATATTCAACTGGATATTTTCCAAGACAGGGCAAGACTACAATAAGAAGCATAGGCTGTTGCAGCAAAAGGGAAACCTGAATGAAAACAAGATAAAATGAGGGAAGAAGACAAGTTACTGGGATGACCTAAAGACTCAGATAAAAGCTGGCAGTTGGATGACTGCTGCAAATTATGCAGAAGAATAATGCAAAACTGTGCTCTAAGAGCATCTTTATTAATTTTGCATTTTGTATTGTATTACTCATGTCCTCTAAGAAGATAAACTTTCTTAAGCTCATATTTACAGTTATACAGCAGACTACTGTTTAGTCTTGAAAACAGGTAGGAATTAAGCTCGGGCTACAAACAGGTCCAACTACTTTGTGTTTCTACACTGTCACGGAAGGGTCGGGGTTTGAAGGGACCTCTAGAGAGCATGTTGTCCAGCTCTCCTAACCGAACATCCCATTGGTGGATTTTTTTCTTCTCGAGCACTAGAATAGCATTTCGATCTATAAGGGCACTCGTCTGCTACCTGCAGGAAGAGCTCGTAGAGGATCTCCTCCCTGACCCGACTCTCCAAATTCCCCACGAGCAGAATCTGCTCCGCTGCCTCGGACCGCCTCGGCGACGACATCGAGCCTGGGGGAGCCGTGCGGGAGCCGTGCGGGAGCCGTGCGGGAGCCGTGCGGGAGCCGTGCGGGAGGGCGCGGAGAGCGTCCCAGCTGCGGGAGAGCTGCGCTCCAGGACACGGGCCCGGCTCCTGGCAACGCTGGAACGCGGGAAGGCGGGTGTCGCGTCTGTTTGTGACACCATACTTAATCGTTCGGTGTGTAGTAATGACGGTAAATACAAACATGAAGGTTTTCTCTTTTATATTTGCCACTGAATCTTAAGTCCTAGCAGGGCTGACTGATGCAAAACAAACCGACCAACCCTGAAAAACAGTCCACCTTCCCAGACTAGTTTTCACAAGTGTGTTCACGCCATCCATTACAGTACACAGAGGTACAGGGAGGGAAAACATGCCAAAAAACAGGCCAGATAAATTGCGAGGGAAAAAGAGCCAGATTCAACTCAGAACAAATCGATGGAAGAAGGAAGAAAAACCCGTAAGCTGCAGAAGAGAGAGGATGAAAAAAGGACAGAGAACTGGTGTGGGACAGAAGCTCAGAGAGAAAAAAGAAAGGGAGTGTGGTGAGAAAAGAAAGCAAGACAAAATAGAGACAAACAGAGAGATATAGGGAAGCAAAATAAAGTAGTCACAGCAGCAAGCGAAGAAAGGGGGCCAGGAGAGAAGCAAAAGGGTGAGACGAGGAACCTTGGACACACCTCAGCTCTGATTCTTGGCAGGAACATTTACCAGTTCAGATGCATCTTTCCCCTTCTCACCCAGAGAGGCAGGCTTACATTTGCCTGCAGAGAGACGGGCCGGATGGTCTCCAATTTTTATTTCCTTGCCTTTTTTACGGCCTCTGCAGTCTCTGCTACAGCAGCTCGTGTCCGAGCCAGTAAGTGCTCATCCTGTACCTCTTCAACCCACGCTCTGGAGGGAGTAAGACCAGTACTAACATTAGAAATTACATAGAGTTCAAGGGACCGTGAGTAGCACAGAAGATATGCAAAAGAAAACAACCATTAACGACCATCAACTCCAGACATCAACCCTGGCATGGTCAGAGACACCTGGTCTGGGAAAACAGAGATATGAATAACCTAATTAGCATCGAAGGCGAAGAAATCCATATCAAATAAGAAACCAAATACTAAGAACTGCACGACTTTGGAATAATGCACATTGAACCAATTAATTTCTATGGGTTCTGACTGTATAAAATACGTGAAAAATCTAGTAAAGAACAGTGTCATGGAATGATTTTCTCTGCCCAACCTGGGCAATGTGTGGATGAAATTATTTCTGTTGCACATCCTGGCCAGAATAAAGTCATGCCTTGACTCTCTAACACTAATAAACGTTGGAGAGTTGTTTTTGGTTTTCCCGCAGTTTCGGTGACACTAACGACCCAGGCAAGCCCCAGGCGGGTGTAGTCACTGGCATCGCCCGGGGTTCCTTCTGGGAAGAACGGACGTTCAGACGCTCAGTGCGGCCTTTGGCAGAGGGAAAGAAGCACCAGTGGCTGTTATTACTGGAGATCCCTTGCACGAATCCCTCCTTCTATAGGGGCTTCTGGGGACACCGGCCAACCTGCCGCTGTCACGACAGGGCTGGGGGCGGCCAGTGGACACAGGGCAGGTTTCAGGGGCGATGCTGGAGCTGAGGCAGCGGCACAGGGTGAACAGGGTCGGTGGAGGCTCAGGGGAGCTCTGGCGACACGGAGGCGCCCAGCTCTTGCCCGGGCATGTGGCCGCCTTCGCCCGGGTCGGGAGTCGCGGTGGGTGGGCTGCAGCTTCTTCCCCGCCATTCCGGGCGGCCCCGAGGCGGCTCTTCCGCACCCGCTGAGGTTGTAATGTCATCGCTCCAGCGACGTCATCCCTCATCCGCCGCTGCGCCGCCGGGCCCCGAGCCAATGCTGAGCCACGCCGTTGTTGGTGCTCCGCAATGCCGCTCCCGGGCACCCGCGCAGGCAGCAGGCCCGGCGGCCGCCCGGAAGGGCACCCGACGCTGGGCGGCAGTGGCGGCAGCAGTGCTCCGGTAGTACCGGAGCAACAATTCCGCGCTTTGCGCTCCGAGCGCCGCCGCCATCGTGCCCGTGGGCCGGCAGCGCCGTGTCCCGACCGGGTTTACCCGCTTACCTGCAGTCCGGCATTCTGGCCAGCGGACGGGAGCAGGGAGAGACCCCCTTCTTCGGTCAGGGTCCATTCGCGGCTTTCTTGGCTGCAGGAGCAGCTACTGACCGCACGGCGGCGGCCAGCGCCAGCCCCGGCCCGGGGCAGAGAGCCGGAGGTCACAGCCGGAGAGCGGGGAAAGGACGCAGACGGAGGCGAGGAGATGCACGGGAAACACAAGGCAATGACATACACCCGATCCGCCGGCGGTAATGCTCAGCAGACAATTAATTTGGGATAACCCACACAAAGCAACTTAACCTGGTTGACCCACACTGGATAATCCATTGCAAGACCACTCCCGAACTGCCAACGTTTCACCCCAAATTTTCTCAACTGGTTTCATTGCCATTTTGGAGATTTTTTTGCAAGTATAAAAATTGAGTTTTACTTTCTCAAATATTCAATTTGGCAATTTTCTGGAGCTTTTTCACAACATAAAAACTGTTGTGGTTTTTGCTTTTGGTTCTGTGCATGAAAATGTAGGGATTTGAACTTTCTGGCTGCTCACATCTGTGCATCACAGGACAGCCCAAGCACCGGTGCCCACTGCCAGCACCATGAAAGTCTCTGAATGCTGCTGCTCTGTGCCTGCACAACACCCAGAAGCAGCACAGCAACACTTGAGGGATGGGACCATGGGCAGTGCCACAGTCATTCAGCTTTCCTGACAGTGTAACGTTTTCAGAATACAGCTGGCTGCAGACACTTCATGAGGCTCAAATACATTTTGTCATGGACACCTGATGAAGCAAATGGAAGATGCCAGTTTTCAAATCGTGCACTTCTGTGCCCCATCAATCTTGGAAGACAGGTGCTTGCAAGGCCAAAGCAGACAGGCAGAGTGGGAGAGCCCCCAGGGCTCCTCCTCCCCAGGCCAAGCAGAGCAGAGGTTGTACCCTCAGCCTCTTCTACACCTCCATCACTCCAGCTTCTCCACTGGCATTGCTCCATAGTGCCCATACCTGCCTAGACCTGGTGGCCCCAACCTGCACACCATGCCCAGGCACAGCCTCCCCTTCCCTACAGTGCGTCCTTCAGCCTTGCCGGCACAGCTCAGTTGTGTGGCTGGCCTTGCACACTGCCCACACCTGCCCACCTTGTCCCTCCAGGGCCATTCCCAAAGCCACAACTGGTTCCCAGCACCCTGGTTCCAGCAGGGCATCAGCCCACTGATGGCCCACTGCCAGGCTGGTGCTCAGTGTTCCCAGTAGCCCATTCCCCTCCCACTTAGTCCAGGCTGTCAGTGTGATCACTTGTAGCCTCCATCTCCACAGAAAAGACAAGAGGAGCAGCCCGATGGATCTTCCCAGTGCATGGCAACCAGCCAGGCTTGGACACTGAGTGCCAAGACCCTTGAAGCCAACAGAGCTCGGGTAACCCCTAAAGCTGAACTGGCACCACAGGCTACAGGAGAGCCCAGCTAGCTCTCCCCAGATCTCTGCTTCTCCTGCACATCCAGGAGCGTTTGTGCCAACACCTTGCCAGGGACAGACAGAGCAGTCTGTAGGCTCTCCCATCCTTCCTCCTTGCCCTTCTGGAATATGGCTGTGGTAGTTGCTCAGATTGATGGGAGACTGCTCAGAGAAGCAGGACCTTCTGAAGAGCAGGGCCTGGCACTGGTAGCATGGCTCCCCACCCTAGGACGCCCCAGGACACCCCCAGCCAGTCAGAACCATGTAGTAAACGGTTTAATTAACACACTGACAGCACCAGAGCCAGCCTGAGCTGGACTTTATCCACTGCTCTGCTTGGCCGCCAGTCTCTTGTCTCTCTCTTCAGCAATGGTCAGGCGGATGCCCTTTCCACGGGGCAAGGAGATCCACGGCTTGTTACCCTGCATTAAGGGAGAAGAAACCACATCAGGAAACCCAGAGAACAACACAGTTCTCCCTCCAAGGAGGAAAGCAGTAGAAGCCCACCCCTGCTCATGCTGAGTCAGGTACACATGGTGGTAGCACTGGCGCAGCAGAGGCCACTAAGGAAGGTGCCAAGGATGCACGGGTCTACAGCCGCCTGTCAGTCACATCCCCGAAGAATGTGCTTCAGCCAAAACCGAAACACCGCCCCTCTGCAACCAAAGAGCCTGTCGGGGATGGCAAAGCAGCAGAGGCTTTGTGGGGGGCACTCTGATTCACAGCAGCTGCCCAGATCACACCAAGGTCTGAGCACTGCTCAGCCCCCAGCTCTCAGGTTTCAGGGCTGCTTCTTGAAAATATCCTTATTCCTAAAGCTGCAAATGCTTCTTCCCTTTCCCAGAGCAGGAGGAAATACAGGGAGCTGAGTAAGAACAGAGGCCATAGCTGAAGCTCCACTGTGTGGGAAGACAGCTGCCTAAGGAAACACCAAGGCTCTTTGCCTCAGCCAGGAGCCCCTCACAGGAGAGAAGCCCCCACCTGGTGTACCCACGGCCTTACTTTGCCAATAACGAAGATGTTGGAGAGCCTGGTGGCAAAGCTGTTGCCATTGGCGTCCTTCACATGAACCACGTCAAACGACCCAGGGTGCCTCTCCCGGTTGGTGATCACCCCAATACGGCCCAAGTTGGCACCACCGGTCACCATGCACAGGTTACCTGAATAAGGGAACAGAGGTGTGACAAGAGCTGGCACCAAGTGCTGTGAAGTCCTTCCACTTGGGCTCCCTGCCCATACGAAACATTCCCATCCCACCTGCGCTAGGACTGCTCACAGCTTTCTGTGACTGAAACTGTCTCTCACCATGAAGAGACAAGCTGAAGCACCTCCCCACCAGCCTGCTGCTTCTACTTGGTACCTCAGAATTGCCAAGTCCCTGCCAAATGGTTCCCACTGCCAGGACACAAGAAGAATTCCCTGCTCCAGCTGCAGGTGGACATGCTCCTGGGAAACAAACCCCTTCCAAAGGCTGACACCACTGCCTCTGTATTTCAGTGCAAATAAGCCTAGCGTTTAACTTCCATACTGCTCTCCACAGTGGGGAAAGGTACAGTGCTTTAATGGGATGCAAGACCTACCTGTGTCAAACTTGATGAAGTCTGTGATCTTGCCTGTCTCCAGGTCAATCTGGACTGTATCATTCACCTTGATAAGGGGGTCCGGATAGCGGATAGTGCGGGCATCATGAGTGACCAAGTGAGGTATTCCTTTGGTGCCCACAAAGATCTTCCTCACCTTGCACAGCTTGTACTGCAAACAAAACCCAACACCTCTCAGCTGAGACAGCGAGCAATGTCATGGACTAGGGAACTCTTGTATTCCAAAGAGCCACCAGCCAGCAGAACACCCAGACACTCAGGACACAACATGAGCCCACGGAGTGACTTGTCCAGCTCCCTGCCTCAGAAACAACTTTTGAACAGCTGCCACGCAGCTCTGCTACAGCCCCACCAGAAAACACCTTTGCTGTTGGGAGCAGCAGCCCACCTTGGGCTTCAGCCTCCCCACAAATACTGGCTACATTTTCACAGGAAAGTCTTCAACAGCACACAAGGCAATTCCTTTATTTTTCCCTAAAGCCCATGGGCACACAACAGAGGCTGCATTTCTCCAACACCCAAGAGAGACCCTCCAGGGCACTGATTTCCCTCCTGCTTGTCACCCTAACTCACTCATAGCCTCTCCGGACTTCATATATCAAGACAGAGTAGTAGCCAGAGAAGCACATCACAAGGAGAACCACATCACAGCTGGATCCAGCACAGCCATCCACACACCTGCGTGCCTGCACAGCCTGCCTTATGGAAGCAGACAGAAAGCAGACCGCAGCCTCACAGCTCAGGCACACCATGCCTGGGTTAAGGAAAATGCATGAGGAAGTTGCATCCCAGCATCCAGGGTGAATAGGCAGTTTTGCCGTCCTGGGAAGAAGTTCGAGGCTTTTACACCACAGGCAGCTACATGTTTCTGGTCACTGTTAGCTGGCAAAGCCAAGACTCTCCTCCACCCCAAAACTCTCTGATCCAGCCCATGCCAACAACATAATCTCCAGCACCAGATAATGCACCTACACCCATCTGTGAACTACCTGAATGGAACAAAGAGATCTCCCCCGACCCAGGCTTCACCACAACACTGAGCACCCCAATCTCAAATGCAGCATGGTCTCAACTGTCAGGGAAGAGAGACACCAGCTCTCATTCAGGAGATGACAAAGACGAAGCACTGCCCCAACCGAACCCAACTGGACCCACACACCACATCAAAGCTCCTCACCTTGGCCTCCTCAGGTGTGATGCGGTGAACAGCAAACCGGCCCTTGGTATCATACACCAGGCGGAAATGCTCACCTGTCTTCTCAATGCTGATGACATCTGATTGCAGACAGGGAAATACAACAATAGCTGTTACCAGCTCAATACCCAAGACCCTAACTTGGGATCAAGCTCATGTTTAAAAAGAAACAGAGACTGCTAAATAATTAGGGTGTGATTGATGAGGTTGGGATCTACCCCTGACCACAGGCTCTCATCTTTTCTGCGACAGACTGCAAATTAGCAAAAACTGCTCAAGGGTGGAATTTGAACAGCAACTTGCCCAGGTCAAGCAGGCACTTACAGGCTACAGGTATCTGACTATGGTATCCACTGCAGTGCACAATTCCAAACTAAATAACAACTGCTTACACATATCTTTTCATGAATTCCAGCAGGGAAACCTTACCCCTAAAATAATGCCAGCCCCACAAAACACTCCCCCACCAGTGTAGGAGAGCTGCCTAAGGAATTGCCCCAACCTGACTCACCCATGAAGCCTGCAGGGTAGGTGATGTCGGTGCGGACTTTGCCATCTATTTTGATGAACCTCTGCATGCAGATCTTCTTGACCTCATCTCCTGTCAGAGCATACTTCAGCCGGTTGCGCAGGAAGATGATGAGGGGAAGGCACTCCCTCAGCTTGTGAGGGCCTGTTGATGGGCGGGGTGCCTGTGGACAGAAGCTTTCTGCTGGAGGCTCAAGCAGCATCAACCACCCCAGCGAAGGAAACCATGGCGCCAACAGCTCCCGCAAGAGCACAGAAGGGCAGCAGCACAAAATGTAGCTGCCACGCAGGCAGCGACTGGCTCAAGCTCCCTGTTCTCGCTATTGACAGCAGTTTCCCCCGTGTCTCGCCAGCCTTACAAAACTGCCCCAAACAGAGCACAACCATCCATCTCAACAGGGAGGTGGAAAAGCACAATAGGCAGGTTAAAAGAGAACAGCCAACGACCCCATCACATTCTCTACACACGGGGGAACACGAACGCTATTCACAAAGACCCTAGCGTTAAAGCAACACCTCCTGCCCTGTCCAACTGCCGTTTACCGCCCACCCTCGCGCAGCACCCCTGATGTGTCCGCACCTGCCACGACCAACCCGGCCCCGGCCCCACCGCCGACCCCGGACCCCAGCCCGAGCCGAGCTTCAACCCCAAACCAGGCCCGCACTCACGAAGACGCCCGTCAGCTTGTCCAGCATCCAGTGCTTGGGTGCAGCCACGCGCTTCAGATGCTTCTTGGGGCCTCGGGCCTACAGGACGAGACGTGTTAAGGGGTGTGTTACGGGCCGCCGCCAGGCCCGGCCCCCACCCAGCCATCCCTCCCCGGCCCCCTCGGACCCCCGCCCCTCGGACCCTAGCGCCGGACTCCCTCCCGTGCTTGTCGCCCCGGGGAGGGACGGCCACAGCCCGCGGTAGCGGGGGATGGCGGCGGATGCCGGAGGAGAGCAGCTCCCCCGCGCTCTCACCATGGCTGCGCTCCGCCGAGAAAGGACTGGTGCTTCCGGCCCACCGCGGAAGGACAAAGGATGGCGGCAGCGACGTGCTTCGCCCCCTGGCGGCTCGGAGGTCCACGGCCGCTCGCGAGGTGGCGGGGATATCGGGAGGGCTTGTCCCTTCCTGGCGGCCCCGACGGGGACACCCTGCTCTGGGACACCCTGCTCTGGGACACCGCGCTCCGGGACTCCCTGCTCCTAGCCGGGCACTGTGTCCGTGCTCGTCGCTGGTCATCGCTGATGGCATGGGACAGCCCGCCACATTCTGGCCCTGCGGTTTGGGAGAGTGTGTGAATATCGGGAGCCGAACCAGGGGTAACACCTGTGCCGGGACCTCTCCCTGCCAACACCTGTGCCTTCCCCCTGCCACGGCCCCTCCCAGGGTAGAGCTGGGACCACATGCAGCCCTCAAACTTGACGCCAGGCCTTAGCGCCCACTCCTGAAGGCAGTTCGGGGGTCAAGTGGTCCCAGCTGCCCTCCCCAGGGAGGCCGACGTGTCCCCACAGTGCTCCAGAGTCCGTGGGACAGTCCCGGGCCCCCAGTGAGTGCAACAGCCCCACACCTGAGCACGTCCCCACAGCAGCGCTCCCGTAGGAGGGCGAGGCTGGGACAGAGGTCCCATTCCCCAGGGTAATACTGTCACCGAAAACGTCGGGATAAATGAAACTTTATGTTTAGATTAGAGAGCAGCATTACTTTATTCACAGTGCTGGGTGCATAGGGGGAGCTCCACCTATGATACATGCACACTTTGATAACTTTTCACTATTAATACACTTTAGAAAAGAAATTAATGTCCGTTGGCTATAAAATACATAGTTCTCTTCATTAAATAGTATTTTATCTTCTACGGTTATAGATTTCTTGCTTCTCATGCTAATTAGTCTACATTTTCAGTCTTGTTATTACCTTGTTATCTTTTTCCCAGGTAAGACAATTGCTGAATTGTCTTTGTTCGTTTCTTTATCTTTGGGTTCTGCAAAATGTCCTTGTAGTCTATAAATTCTGTATTCCGTGTGTACAGTTTCAGCAATATCTCTCTCCCATGCTTAGTCCAATGAAGCATATCAAGGTTGGTTTAGCAAAACTTTAAAAGTTTTAGTAATTTTCCCGACCTGTGTTCCCACAATACCAGCTTATGACAAACCTTGCTAAGTGCTTGGCTACGGTGGAAAATTACACTGTTCGCGACTGATTAAAACAATTAGAAATTTTAATTAGAAAAGTTACTAATGAAGTTGTATAATTTTCAGCAACAGGATGGGAATATCATAAGCCGAGAGAAGACGCACTGGAGCTGCGGGTGCCCACCCTCCTTCCAGCAAAGGGCTGCTTCACACAAAGTTCTTCGCCGAAATGGACAAGGGCCACAGCCGACGGAACAACGATCCTTCCATATTTTATTACACAGCAGCTTGAGACCCTTGCCCGCGCATTTTAGGACAGGCAGCGCGGCCCAAGCTCCTCCTCCCGCCCCTTCCCACACTCGGCCGGGTTCCAAGCGGCCCGGAGGAGGCGGTTCCTGGAGGCCCCGCGGCTGCGTCCCCAAGCCGCAGGCGAGCGGCGAGCCGGGCTCCGTGGGGCTCCGGACTCCCCCCGCTGCGCAGTTCTGGATGTGGAGCTTCTGCAGGCACAAGCTGGCCAGAAGGTGGGACCGGCCTGAGGGGGCCACGGAGGCGGGGAGCAGGCCCCCACCGCCGGCACCTCCTCAGCCGCGAAGGGGTAGCAGCGCAGGATCGCCACCGCCGTGAGGGCCTTCGTGCCCCGGGGAGAGGACTGCCAACAGATTATCTCCGGCGTCTACGGGGACACGGCAGCGCTCGGAAGGGCGCGGGCTGTCTCGGGCAGGTGGGGTCCAGCGACCGTACCCAGACAGGAAGGGAACTGGAGAGGCGCCCTGGCTTACCCCCCGCTTGCGTGGGCAGCAAGGCGGGCATATCCCACTCTGGATGGGGGATGTAGGGATTTCCACCCAAGAGGCACCTCACCTAAAGCCGCAACACTTGACGCTTGTGGGGTTTCCTATTGTTTCTTTTCCCAGCTGTGTTCCTGAAACAGCTCCCACAGCTCATAGGGCAGTCTGCCTGCCCTGAGGTGGGTCAGAGGCAGCAGCTGGCCAGGTTCTCTGCTCTCTCATTCTTCACCTTTTTCCCTGGATGGGCAGTCCCCAAGCCTGACATCTCCCCCAGGCACTGGGATCCTTTGCTGGGGCAGTGGCAGCACCAGCCTCCTGCCAGCTGTTACAACACAAGACTGGTCACACCACACCAGGTGCTAGGGGTACATGGAAGTAGGCAAGGGGTCAGGAGTCATGGGAGCCACATCCTGCTCACCTATCTCCACACCAGATTTCCTGTTGTTTCAATCTGCAGTGAAAAACAACAGAGCAAAATACAAGCCAAGGCCAGGCTGAGAGCCCCTTTGTCTTGCTGTTTCTTCCAGCATAATCTAATTAAAGCCACAGGAAATATGCTTTCCCACAGTGACTGGACATCTTAAAAAAAACCAGCACAATAAAAAGTCCATGGGCCAGGAGAATGAGGGGACAAGGGCAGCAGAGGCCAGGCTCCGTGGCCCCTGGCACTGGGAGAGATCTGCCCCAGATACCTTGTATACCTGTTCCCTTGCTGAGACACCTCATGCAGCTCTCATGGGGCACCAGAGCATCTGGATGTTCATCTAAGATCTCCCAGGACAGGAGCTGTCACAATGCCCTGCATCTCCCACAACACTCTTGAGAGGCTCTCCAGGGTCTGGCCCCTCTGTGCAGAATTTCAGAAGCTCACAAATGGCTCTGCAGTAGGAGGGGCTGGGGTGCTGAGAAAAATAGCAGTGGCAAGGCAGGGTGAGTTGAAGAAGAAAGGAAGGGGCTGGAGGAGTGTGTTAAGTATTTTATTTTTAAAAAATTCTCAGTTAAAAACACAATGGCTGTGCCTTTCTCTGAGTAAGAGATACAATCTGTGGTGCCCCAGGGTAGCTCTCAGGCTGTACTTCATGAGTGGGCAGCTCTGAGGCTGTAGCCCTGTACCTGCCAGGTAGCAGCCCCCTCTTAAAATACATTTAAAAGCAGTTGTGAGAACAAACTGTGGTGTTAAAAAAGGAAAGAGAAAAGAGCAGGGGAGGCTCTGCCAGCACTGGAAGGCTATGGCTGGAGGGCCCACACTCCTGCCTGGGGAGAGCCACGGTGCTCATGGCATGCAGCAGCTTTTCTTTTGTACAGAGGGAAAAAAAAAATTAACCAACCAACCAACAGTACTTTCTTTGAAGGTTTCCCTGCAGTCACGAATTTCACCAGTTGTTCACATAAATATGCTGTCTTCTCCACAGGAAATGCTCTTGCCTGAGCCTTCCTTTTCTGCTAAACAACGTGCTTCAGATTCCCTGAAAAATAAAAGGAAGCAGAAAAGGGTATTTCCACTGATATTTTAGCCCGGTGGAGTGACCTGGCAAGGGGTGCTACTCCCACGCCTAATGGACTAGGCCATGATATGAGAATTCTAGCCTCAGCACAGATCTCAGTTCCTGCTTCCTCTCGCTCCTTTTGCAGAGGCTGCTGTCCTTGTTCAAGCCAAGCTTTCGAAATTATCACAGGGGACCCTGCCGCTGCTTTCACTATGCTGAATACTGTTTTGGGATTTGTGGACCAGCATCACATGCTCACTCCCTGCTGCCTCGTCCTTCTTTCAGGCTGGACTCACACATAGGAGTGCACAGCCCTCCCAGCTCTGGAGTGATGCTGTCCCTCCTACCCGCTTGGACAGGTCCCCAAGGAGGGGATGTCCTCTCCCTAGGATTAACCTGTTCTTGGGCATCCATGGCCATTGCACTTCCTACCCTACTTCTAATACCAGCACACTGCAACACAGTGCTCTCTCTTCACAAGGAGCCACATGGAGAGGACAAAGGACAACAGGTGTGAGTTGCACCAGGAGAGGTTTCACCTTAAGTATTTTTTTTTACAGTGAAAACAATCAATCACTGGAGGAAACTCCCCAGAGATGTGGTAGAAGCCCCACTATCAGAAGTTTTCAGGATGTGACTGGACAGGTTGCTAAGTAATCTTGTCTATGCTCCCTTTCCTATGAAAGTTTGGACCAGATGATATTTGAAGTCCCTTAGAACCTGGGCTGTTCTATGATTCCCACAAGGACAAGGCCCCATGCTCCCCTGCCCAGCCAGAGCAAAGACAATGGCAACTTTTGCTACAGGACCTATAACTCTATTCCTATCAACCCTGAAAATCCTAAGGGATGTGGGAGGCACTGTACACTAATGAGCCAAGTGAATGTGGTCCATCTTTCCAGTCAGTGAGAAAGATTCCAATGAGCTCTTCTGAAGCCTCCTCTAAAAAAAAAACCTGTGAGCCTGAAGCAGGAGTGTTGGTTTGGACAACACTCACCTTTGATAGAGTTCAGAATTTCTTGAATTCTGTGTGTCTCATTGCGGTCTGGTCTGCAGCTTGGTGTGATCTCCAGCACATAATCAGGACCGTACTCTGTGAAGAACTGCAGGAAAGAGGAAAGTCAGCAGAGAGGTCTCTGAAAGCTGAGGCTGGAGGGAGGGCTCCCCATGGGTACCTGTTTGTAAATAGACACCTAAGGGCCACATGTAGCTTCACTACATCAAGGTGGTACTTCAGCTAGTGTCTGTGTCCATCTGGAGTTTTCAACCGCTTCCCAGTTCAAGGGATGGGAAGCAGAGCCCAGTGTGGCAGTCAAAAGCAGTCAAATGTCTATCCCAACGCTTTATTTGGGAAAGCTGTTGGCACTCATTTTACATACAGTTACCAGTAAATGAGATTTCTTCTTACTAAATTTCAAGTGCTGTAATCACATATCCTGCTGTTCACCTCCCACCTTGCTAAACACTGCATTGACATGACTGTGAAACACCTGGGAAAGGAAAAATCAGTGTGCTGCAAGGATACTGTGTCTCTCCTGGCTAAGTGCTCAGATAGCATGCAGGACATCTGCAGCACATAGGGCTGGCGTGCTAACACAGAATCACAGGTTACTGACAGCCATTGTGTCATGATTCTGGCCAAGACAGGGTCAGTTTTTGCAGAAGCTGGGAGGAAGCATGGCCAGGACACAGAGGTTATTCTGCGCCACCTCATGTCATTGCTGAGGGCAGGGGAAAGGGACTCTTCCAGACAGAAGGGATTTCTTCCAGCTGAAATAATGTGGCAGAGGGAGCTGTGCGGTATTGTCTATTAGTCAGGGGGACAAGGATGTTTCTGTGTGAACTGTTTCTTTTCTTGTTCCCTCTGTCGTTAGTATTGTTGCTGTTGCTGTTACTGTTCAGTAAATTGTTCTTATTTCAACTGTGATCTTTATCCTTTGTGCCTCCAATTTGAGGGGGCAGGGGGAACAGAAGCACTAAATTGGAGAATACCATTCCTAAGACAACCTTAACTGGTGCCCAGTGTGTGGTACAAAGGGTTGAGATAACAACAGATCTGCCCAGAGTGGGCTGGAAACAAATTTGATTCTATGCATTTGTTCACATTAGGTACAGAGCCATTGGTCACAATGTTGTTTGGTCTGTTCATGTAGGTGTGGTACAGATGTGTGAGCATATATGTTCCTTGTGATGATATTTTTCAGAGCAGGACGAGGGATCAGGATTGGTTTGTTGCTGCACCATGTAATATCAGTTTATGAAATGATAACAAGGCCAATGAAGGTCATCTGGGATGTGTATTCAGTGTTCCTCTCCTACCCTTACCTCAGGTGCTACTTTGGTAGTCCATTAATAGTACTCAGCCTGAAGGGGAAACAGGAGAAAATTATTTTCCCCAGCTTGCCACCCTCTCTTCCTCCTTCAGGCCTGTTACAACTGCTTTTGAGAATTTTGAATTCCTTTTGGATGTTACAGAAAGCATGTTCTTGTTGTTATGTCTCTTATGTGCATGTCCTCAGTACAGTTTATAACATGTTTAGAGTCAGGACAGAGATTTCTAGGAAGGTCATTCAAAGATCTGCCCCAAGGGTGGATAGTCATGAGTGGCATAGAATGTGGGAAAAAATGGGCTGATTTCTGGGGTAAATTCTCTGTTCCATTAATTTGGAAGTTCACCCCTGTACAACTACAGGACTCTGATAGAGAGACAAAATATTTGCAAGGTGAGAGCTGTGTCAGCTCCAGAGAGGAGCAACTTATTGGAGTGTGCTGGGCCCTGGCCACTCTTTACCAGACACTGCTGGTCACCAGACAGAACCCTCAGGGAGAGGAGGAGGAAAGCAGAGCAACAGGAACTGTGGCCACTCAAACGGCAGCTGAAAAAAAAAAGCCTTGAGAAAGGCAAAAGGCATACCCTAAAGAGCTCTTTGAGCAAACCAGAGAATCCTTCTGCCCATCCTCTCTGTAACTATCTGAGACTGGAGTTTATATGTGAGACCCCTCGCAGAGAGCTGTAGACAGCCTCTGTTTTTGGACACAAGCACCCATCATACTGATAGGTCAGGGCAGTATTGTTACATAAGTATCTTCACAAAAGAGGACTGAGTGGCAAGGATGGTGTGTGGATTAGGCAGAACAACTGGCTCTTCTGCAAGGAGAAAGGAGAGTTTTTCAAAGCATTACCTCATGATCAGGGATCTCAGAGGACAGTGTTCTCCCAAGGATGACCCCAGTCAAGTATGTCCAGCAGCGGGCCGTGTTGGCAAGGTTGTAACCTCCTGTTTCCAGCAAGAATTGGAATTTTGAGGAGGAAGAGTGGGGAAAGGGAAAAGAGAAAAAGAGATTTAAGTGTAAGGAACAAATCATGAAGCCACTGTGAGCAGGTTACATGAATTCAGCTTATTTCATCCACTCAAGCCATGCCTAAAATCTGCCTTTTGCACCTGCTGGCTACACAAGACCAGGTCTGAATGACAGTGTATGCAAGAACTGACCGCTCAAACTGAACCCCACTTACATCCAGTGTGGCAGAGGCTGGTCCTCCAGCCACCATCTCAGACCCAGGATGAGCTCCCAGCCCCATGTGCTGGACTCTCTACTGGCAAAAAGGAGAGCCATTCCCAAGCAGCAGCAGAAATGGGGGCTTCCTGCTTTTGAATACCAGCCTTTGACCTATAAAGCAAAATACACGTGTCCAGCCATATGCTGGTGCGCTCTTCAGCAACGTCATGTTTGAGAGGACAAATGTGAAACTCATCACTACAGCTTGCAACTGCTTCACATGAAAATGAGATTTCACGGTTAGTAGGAAATGGTGACCTACATAGTAATGGAACACGAGGTTTCTCCACAAGGAGAAACCTTAGCTGAAAGCAATCCTGCAAGAGACTCAGGTAAATTTTTGTCCAGAAAAGATGACTAGAATAGGAAAGGGGAAAAAGTGCTTTGACAAGACAGAGAGACCATATCTTTCAATATTCCCTTCTGTTTGCGTTGATTGTTGTGGGGCTTTTTCGCTGTTTTTTTTATTTTATTTCTCCCCCAGTTTCCACTTCAAATGCTTCTACAATCTGCAGTGGTGGGACACTCCTTTGGTATTTTCACAAGTGACACATAGTTGATCCTCATTTTTTTAAAGAAGTTTTGGGTTTTGTCTGAAAGGTGACATCTCCAGCACACTCACAGACAAGCCACAGCAGGACTGAATATCCATAACTTTTCCAAAACAAAGGGCAGCAGGCACATACAATTTTAGCCTTAATATGTGGTATCTGATTTCCCCTATCTCAAAAAGGACAACACCTAGAGCTGATGCAGCTCCAATCTTAGAGCTCAGGGGCTTTCCCTGGCACACAGTGGCTTTTGTTGTTCTGAAATGCTCTGTTAACACAAAGCCTGTCCTGTGTTCTCGCCACTGGACAAGCAGCTGGTTAAGCAGCACAGCAAAGTCCAGCTCAGCTTTCACTGGGTATCAGAGCCCTGCTGTACCTTGCAGGCAGCCAGGCCTTGTCCCAAGCCTCTGCTTGAATCTTAATGAAACCATTCATCACCAGGTGTCCAAGACAGGTTCGGGAACATAGTGCTCACTTTTAAAGAGAAGCACCAAAGGGCTGATCAGCAGAGATGGGAATCAGAGGCGCCACTGAGAAGTCAGGGTCAGTTTGTTGGCCTCTCCTCTTCGCCAGAGGAGCCACGCAGCTTTTAACTCAAGATCTGAGTCAGGACTGAGACTTGCACCTGTCAGTATCAAGGATTTCAGGTGAGAGAAAACAGTAGTGTGCCACACTGCCCAGCAGTCACCCTGCTAAACCCTTGCCAGTGCTGAGCCCGAGGGCAGGCAGGCACTGGAGGCAGGGTCATAGGAGGACAAACGTGTTTCTCTCAGAACAGCAAAATGCACTCACCTCCTCCCAGGACAAGAGTTGCCAGCTGCCACTGCAGGACATACTTGAGGCACTTGCCCACTCCCTCGGGTGTCATGTTGAAAGAGCACATGGGGTCTCCAGCAATGGTGTCTGCCCCCAGCTGCAGCACAACTGCGTTGGGATTGAAGGCAGCATACACCTCCTCCAGCACTCTGGGGAGAGGAGGAGCAGTCCAGTTAATGCCAGCATGGCTCAGAGGAATGCTGGTGGCATGGCCCTGGTCCACCAATGCCTCTCAGGGTTTCTGCATTCTCTGCTTCCACCCAACTCAAACCAGTTACTCTGCCTCTGTTCCCAGTTAGCCTTCTACCTCCACAGCAAGTTTAGCTCTCAGAGCACTTATCAAAAGGCTGATGTACACAAAAGAACCAGTGATAACATGGCAGAGGGGGATCTAGTCCTCACCAGTTTAGTGGTAGCATCAAACTCCACATTTACACTGCCTTTTGGCTGCAGGACAATCCAGGAGCTTTTCTGCCCTGTGAAAGTCATGGTGGAAATCCAGGTCTGGCAAACCAATCCTGAACTCAGACACCTCTCACTAGGACAGGACAGGAGAGGACAGGAGAGGACAGGAGAAACAGAGGAAGGCTCTGGCTAGGATTGTACTCTACTCTCTCGTATATGGCTCTTGAGGCAAATCTATGAGGACAAGCTCTGTGTGGGGTGTAGTCAGCCTGCAAAAACCTGCATTGGACAGAGCTTCATGCTTCAAGCCCATCGTGGCTTTGGGAAGTACAGGCAATCACCCTCAAACAACAGCTGGATGAGACATCCACAGTCATGCCTGTGACTGCCTCCCAGCCTGGAGAGAACACAAAGAGATCCCTAAGTCTCTTTGCAGAAACTTTAGCTATACAGCTACACAGCTTGATATCTGTGGTAGGTTACGATGTCCTTCAGCTGTGAATGCATGCAGCAGGCTCCTCCTGAGTGGGTTCCTGAGCTGTCTCAGCCCCTAGAGTGGCCTTTCAGAAGCACGTCCTCCGGCACAAAGAGGGCTGCTCGGCCCAAGCAATGGCAAGCACCAATAAGGCAGTAGGAGGCACGGCCCCCACATGACTGCCCTACTGGCCTACAAGTTTAGAGAGGTTTCAGCCCTCAAATGTTAGAGGTGGATATGCTACCACGTCCTGCCGCCCTGCACTGAGACTCCTCTCCCGTGGAAAAGAACAAGCCCCGCAGCCCAGTTTTGACATGGACAACAGCTTGTGAGGTCCACCATCAGCTGAGGGACAATGGGGACTGCCAGGAGGCAGCTCTGTCACTGTCAGATATTTAGCCTTCAGCCTTTCATTCTTCCAGCACAGACAGAAGGTGCTAGGAAAACACTTTTAGCTAAGCCCCAAGCATATGTCCCACAGGCAGAATTCAGAGCACTTACTTGAAGAAAAAACATCTAGCCCTAAGTCCATAGCTAAAAAATACTTGTCCCTTCTCAGTCTCTCCTTAGATAAACACCTGTGGAGGTGTATCTAAGGAGACAGGCTGACCTGTGGCAGAGACCCCTCCAGCCACCCACAATGTCTCTATATATTCAGTTTGCTAAAGGATTCAGACAAGACCTCTGAGAACTTACAGTCCATGTTCATTGTAATCAAAGGTTGAAACAGGGGAAGGGACAAGCCTTAGGAAAGGACTGTGATTTAGAATACTAAGCTGTGTGGTATCTTATTCTCAAATATCCCATCCAAGTCAGCTGTATCAGAGCAAGAGGGCTTACGATTCACAGATCTGGTAATATTTTTCATCCCGAATGCCATCTTGAATGGGCACATTCACGCTGTAATAGCGACCTTTTCCCAGGCCAACATCTGTCACATCACCGGTGCCTGCACAAGAGAAACACCTCAATTAGGAGGGAAAGGAGAGCAGCAGCAAGAGACGCGTGGGGTGTGTCAAAGGCAAGCCAAGAGCCAGGACGTTCAGCATGCTCATGGAGAAGTCCACTTGCTGCCACCACCACAAAAGGCGGGGTGGAGGAACCCAGTTCTCTCCTTCACCCCATTCTGCCACGCAGCATCAAAGCGGCTCTGCCTAGAGCTCAGCTAAACCACAAAGGGGGAAATGCCAAACATATAGGTCCCCCTCTTTTCCTTCTCCTGGGTTAAGAGAAGAGGCAGCAAGACATGTCAGCTGGACAGCAGGGATAGGACTTGCCTTTACGGAGGCCTCACCAGTGACGTGTGAACCAAATGAGCACAAACCTTACAAGTTCAACTTGCCTGGGAAAAATCCTGGTGAAAATTTGTGCAGAGAAACAGTCATGACTTTCGAGGTGAAACTAAAGGCATCCTCAACTCCTATTAGGAAAGGGAAAAAAAACTTCCATGCATCATTTATATAAATGACTGAGTCTGAACACAGAACTGCTTGATACACACAGGGCAGCAAGCAGAGAAGGAGCAGCATGAGCAAAGTGGAAATGCAGATGTGGCTCAATAAATACATCCTCAATCCACAGAGACTGGAGTTCAGCTGCAGCAAATGCTGCTATGAATGTGGCAGGTCTCACGCTAATCAGTACTGAATGGATCTCATGTCGCTACCCACGGTAGCAGCACTTGCCTGTGCTGCTAGGCCTGCGAAGCTGGGAGAGGGATCCAAGCAGCGCTGCCTTGGCCAGGGCTTGGCTCTGATTAGAACCAGTGCTACTGGGCTCTCTTGCTTTTTCTCAATGCTGCTGTGGTTCAACATGCCTTTTCCTTAAAGACACATTAAAATAGTGGGCATGGAGAGGGAAAAAAGAAGTAATAGGAAACTTAACAGAAACCAAATGCAAGGAGAAAATTGAACAAAATGAAACACATCATTAAATTTAGAAGAGCAGGAAATGTTAAATGGTGTAGAAATAATGTCCCTGAAGGAGGGAGCAGTTGTGGCAAGGCCAGCTCGGGCTCTAGATTTATAGCATCAAGCCTTCTTTTAAAAGCACCATTTACTACCAGCTGCTTCTCCCTTGCAATGGACCTTTAAACAATTAAACCCTGTCAGCAACTGCTCTGCCAAGATGGGAGACTGGGACATATTATCTGTTGCTTTAGGTATAAGACTTCTGCCCAGACCCTCAAAATAGGTCTGAGAAGCGGCACAGGGCAAGTCTGTAAAGCAGGACAAGGCAGAAATGGATTGAGGGAACTCAACTGCACCGAAAGGAGCCAAAGCCGCAGCTGTTGCAGCAAGTAAAGTCCTGCTGTGTAGACAGGCCTTGACTTCTCCCATTGCTCCCTGAGTCTGTGCAGCTGTGCTGTTTGCAGCCTTTGCTGGGTCTTACCATCCCCATGATGCAAATCCAAATCAATATAAAGGACACGGTCAAATTTCTGGCGCAGCCGCAGGATCCCCAAGACAGCGTCGTTCAGGTAACAGAAGCCAGAAGCTTCATCCCTGTGAAAACAATGTCTGTGACACTGAATATTGCCAATACACAATCACCACTGATCCCAGCATTCTCGCTTTGACTTTGCAAACGTCCACCTCACAGTGGCACAGAGGAGTACGAAAACTCAGCCAAGGCCCAGCAGTGACCAAGAGATGGGTCAGGAGCAATTCAAAGCACGGCTGGGAAGCACAGAGAACGGGACTGCTTGTGCCAACTGCTTCTCAACTCTGGGCTCTGCTGCAGAGAGACCCTGGCCTGTGGGGGTACCTCTGACCATTGCACTGTTGAACAAATAAAATGCTAGCTTTCTGCACCTGAGTAATTTTAAACAAGTTCAGAGACACTCGAGTCAGACTCACTCTCTCTCTGAGACAAGAGGACAGTCCCCTTGGCCATTTTCCTATGAGGTCTGGACAGGCATAGACAGGCAGCCACTTCATCCCTGCTTTCTGGGTCATAGCTCCTGGGAAGGTCCTGACAGTGAAAGGCAGGTCCAAGGCAGTCACAGGATTCTCCTGCTGTTCTAAAGTCTCAGGCTATGAAGGTTAAGCCTCTTCCCAAAGTAACTCCCTCCTTTCTCTTCTCAGGAAAATGCAAACGGGATGTCCCACACGCAGTCCCTCACGAAACAGCTCCTGGGCCCAGCTAGGAGAGAGTCCAAGCAGCTAAACATAGGACAGGTATACCACGGAAAGATTTATCACTGACATTGATCAGGGACAGCTTACTTGCTGTCCCTGGCATCAAAGGAACAAGAAAGTTTCCTGACTCCAGCCTCACTCCAAAGTCAAGTCCCCATCACCACTTAGCACCAGTCCACATGCATTCTTAAATCTGCCCTGGACAGATATTTTAAAGCGAAGTTTTATACTTTGCAACAGGAGTACCCAAATCCCTTCTCCACAAATTGTATCAGGATACAAGATGTGCCTCTGGGAAATTCCTCTTGACTTCCAGTTACAGCACTCAGCTCAGTTTCCTTGACATTTCCTGCTCAACAACAGCTGAGAATGGTGAAGAGCAAGCCAGGGGTGGCAGAACTGCACTTGCTTTCACTCTCTGCAAGTGCCGTGGAGTACAAGGGTTTCCCAGTGACTCTGTTCATTTACAGTAATGCGAAAATGGAGGTGTTAATAGGTATCCTGAATATCTGACTCAACTATGATTATGTATTTCTCCCCTCCCTCACAGCCTACAAGGAAGCAAAGTGAACTATTCCGTATCTTGGGGGACTCTCTCAATGCTGTAATACACACCTCTGAAACTCAAGGCCAAGCAGAGCAGGACAACAGCTCAGTCAAAAGCAGAGCAGTGTCAGAGCTGCAGCTCTGCATTTGGGATCCCCCGTGCTGCCCTAAACCCACCCAGCAAAGCTCTGAGTGTCACTGCCAGAAGGGAGGGTGAGGCTGGCTTGAGAAAAGGCGCTTACTCAGCATCTTACCCTCAACCCCAAAGACATCCTCTGAACCAAGAGCATCCAAAGCCCCAGGTCACTCCTACCTTTAGGACCCTGGAAAGCAACTAAGCCACCAGACAGCAGGTGTTTTTTGACAAAAGGAATATATTTTTCTAGGACATAGGTCCTAGAACCAAGCACCTGCCGTTCAGTGTCAGTCTGGCTGGACCTTCACATCGGGCTGGCATCTACCCTGAAGCATCACACACCAACTTACTGGGGTGACTGGGAAGACTCCTTTGGGATCAGTGAATATTAAATGCTTTTTAAACAGAGACTCCGCTTCCCAGAACAGTGCTAATAGTTCAGCAGCAGTAACACTGCTAAAACTTTTTTCATTATAGGTAATTTTTAAGCCATGCAGTCCAGACAGAAGATACCAGGAGAGTTCCCAAAAGCCATTGGTTCTGCAAAGAGTAAGAGCTCAGCTCTGCCAAGTGCAAGTCTCCTTTCACAGCAAGGTGCAGCTGAAGCCATTTTCAGCCAAGTGCCCATCAGAAAGCAGGCTGAGATGGTGGTATGGCTGGCACTTGCACACCACTGGTAGACCTCCAGAGTTCCTCTGCCAGTTCAGAAGTCACCAGATCAAGACATCTGCACATGTGTGTACAAGCTGCTAGGGTTAGACACAGTGCCCATGAGAACTCCTGAGGCTCCCCAGGGACATAGAACAGCACTGCAAATACCAGTTGGCTGTGAACAAGGAAGGGTGGTGTCTTGTCTACGCTGCAAAGAGGCCCCATGTTTTGGCAGATGGGGAGGATAAGTTAAATAAAACATACTTCCATGGAAAATGGGACAGAAACAAATTATTTTACCACTACAGAACCACAGGATTCAGGGACAGAATTTTTACTTCCTCTCCTGTTGTGCTGGAAGATCATTACTGATGTTAGAGCTCACAGGAAACAGCCCCCCATGGAGTGTGGGGAAACCCAAGGTCAGTCCTGCACTATTTCAAACCTCTTATTAAGAAAGCCAAAAGCCGTACAAAACAATTTGGACGTGTCACCGCATTTCCATTGTGTTCCAAACTGGCAGTGACATCAATTGTTTGTCTCTCCACTGTGCTTCTCCACGGACCTCACAAAATACATTCTCACTTGAGCTTCCTGAGATAATGATGTATCGAGGAATCACAGGATATCTGTGAGTACACCTGCCCCAGACCTGCTCTGCAGCACATGACAGTGACAGCATCAGCACTGAGCAGTGACCTGCCTCCTCTCAGGCCTCTGCCCTGCCCTCTGTTTCTTTCCTCTCAATCTCCTGCCTTCCCTCACACCTTGTTTTCTCTTCCAACTGGCTCATTGCACCCTGAGGGTTCGCAGGGAAGCTGGGAGCTAGGAAGCAGCGTTCAGGGATCAGATGAGAAAACACAAGGGAAGAGATTGTTTCCTTACTTCTTTGCATGATGCCACCCTCCAGGCCAGTTAATTGCTACCTTGCACTTGCCGTCCAGCAGGCACTGGGCTGCAGTGATGGTGGCTCCTCCCACGGCTGCTGCATACTCAAAGATCCCTTCAGTGGCTGGACAGTCGTAACCTGCAGGTAAGAGTCCGCCTGTCAGACACAACAGGCCTTTTCCTCCAGGGAAAGCATATTCCTTTTGTTTGAGGCTTCAAGACTGACCCAGCCTGGAGCAGCCTGTTCCTGAAGAACTGATCCCACAGAGGATCCAAGATCCATACTGGAGAAGTTCTTGAAAAATGGGTACCCATAGGAAAGACCCACACTGGAAAAGTTCGTGGAAGACAGTGTCCTGTGGAAGGAACCCCCCACACACACAAAGGGCAAGAGTGAGAAGGAAGGAGCAGCAGAGACATGTGAACTGACCACAACTCCCATTCCCTGTCCCCTTACACTGCTTGAGGGAAAAGCAGAAGAGCTGTGAGTGAAGCTGAGTCTAGGAAGAAAGGTGGATGAGGGGGATGAGGGGGATGGTGATTTCAGTTTAATTTTGAATTCTCACTATCCTACTCCATTATTAATTGTCAATAAAATGAATTAATTTCCCTATGTAGAGTCTCTTTTGCATCTCAACATGATCTTTTCCACTGTATTTTCTCCCCCCCTGTTGAGGGGGAGAGAGAATGCGTCTTAGTGGACACCTGGAAAAAAGAACCCACCCACATCACAAAAATCAACCCACCACAAAAAGCAACAATCTAAATGTTTTCTTGCACTCAGTTCATTAAAAAAAATGAGTTGTGTGCCTGGCTTGCCTAACCTACTGGTCCCTCACATCAATCTCACAAAAAACTAATTTCAGGTCTTTGGCTACTTGAGCAGAAAAGCCCTGGCATGGTCACTGACATACCTCTTCCCTAAAAATGGGCATCCACAAACAAGTCAAACCTAGGTAAGCTGTAGGTCTGTATCTATAATATGATCTTCACTTAGTCCTACAGCAGCCTCCCTGCAGCTGTTGCCCACAAAGCATGATACCAGGGCTGCTTGTCTTCCTGTAGACAGAGCAGCTTCAGGAATGTAAAGTCTAAGGGACACTCATCAGCGCAGAGTCTGCACCTCTGCCTCAGTTCTGAGTCACTCCTCCCATTCCTGAGACCAAGACAGTGCCCATAGCCATCTCACCTGCTTTACCTGCTGCATTGTTCAAGCTGTCTCAGGTCCAGGAGTGCAAGAGCTCTCTGCTCCAGACATAAATCACCAGAGAGACAGCAGCTGCTCCGGTCACCACAGCTCCAGGCCACTTCTTGCACATGCCCTCCCCACAGCAGGCTTGCAGCAGCCAGTCACAGCTCCAGCCCGGAGGCAGTGTCAGGGTCTTTTATCCTGTTCCAGAGCCTCCGAGCAGCAGCAAAGGGCAGCAGCCCCACTCAGCAAGAGACACGCTAAGCTGCACAGAGCAGCAAAGTGAGGCTAGCTGTACCCTCTGCTGGCACAAGGGAAAGCGCCAGCCTGTCAGATGACTGCTGAGGTTCAGCAACATCCTGTCAAAGAGTGTTTCCTTCCAAAACCATGCCCAGCATCTCCCTGAGCTCACCCCTCTAACTGCAGCTCCAGCAAAAAAGCATCCTGGCCCTAGTACTCAACTAATCCCTTGCTGAAGATGTGAATCCTTACCCAGTCCATACTCCACAGACTCCGGGTGGTCATCATCCCCCTCCTCACTGACCTTCTGCAGGTGCTGCAGGTAAGCATCTGTGTGGAAACTCGCCATTTCCTCCATGGAGGCCACTTTTGGCTTGACTATCCTAGGCAGAGAGGAAGAAGGGAGCATATCAGGGCAAGAGGCTTCAGGGTTCAGCTGGAATGTCCAGCTTTAGCCTTTACCCTAGGAGCCTTCTTTCGGCTGTTACTGTTGTAAAAGCAAATGAAACTCCCTCTTCCTCTTGCACTGGACTGTCACTCCAGTGAGAAAGCCACCCAGCTGAGCTGGAGCAGGCCTTGCCCCTGGTTTGGCACTGCCTGTGGTCCCCACCACAGTGAAGAACACTTGCAGGTGCTGCCTACATTAACCTTCTCCCTTTGCTTCAAGTTTTTTTCCCTTTTCTGCACGTTCTTTCAGTTTGTGCAATTCCCAGCATATCCAACATTCCGATTACACACAGAGGAACTAATGGAGAGCAATGCCCAGGCCCAGCACAGCGCTGTGGCAGGACCTCAGCCTGGATCAGGAGCTGTGCAATGCCTCTCGCATGCTGTGACCTGCACCAAAGCAGAGACTGTCACTGTTCCCAGCAGCTTGCACAGCACCTTCCTGGGTCTGGGTGCTTTGCAGTTTGCCTAAACAAATCCTGCAACACACTGAACCCACCCCAAAACTTGGACACCGGGAGCACACACAGACAGTACAGCACAGCTCCACTGCTACAGGAAGAACACAGGAAGCTCCCAGCTCCAGGCTGGCTCCAATGCTTCCCACCGGCAAACAGTCCTTCAGGTCTGATCCATAACAATACCTGCAGCCATTTCCCAAATACACTCTGCCAGAAAAAAAAATTCATTTAAAAAAGAAGTCTCCAAAGGACCTTCTGGCAGTGCTGAACTGAAGCACATTTTTTTAAAGGTTTTATGAAATGCTTCACAAGAGCGGCTGAGCTATGTCTTTCTTCATATGCCCCAGCGTCAAGAGCCAAACGAGGCAGGAGGTCTCTCACTTTTCTGCCCCAGATCTCATCTGGTCATCTCTCTTGATCAGCATGCAGACCTCACAAAAAGTCTCCCAGTCAATGACAACACAGCAAAACAGCACGGTCCCTCTCTGCATCAGTACTGACTGATCAGCGGATCGGGAGCAGCACCAAGGCCGTCACCCTGCTCAGAGCCCCAAGCACGGGGGTGACACACACTCTACTGCAGAGAAGACACAAGGCTATATGTAAGTGCTCCACTAGACCAGGAGGGTAACAATGAATTACACTTGCCACAATTACTGTAATCGTGTCCATGTAGCAAAACAAACATTTTCCTTTAATCGTGGAAATACACACTATGGGGGCTCCTATAATCATGCCGCCAGCAGGGACAGTTACTGAAGTTACCCAGCACCTTCCGAATCTTAGCGGAGGATAAAACATCCCTTCACAGAAAACCGGAGCACTTACTTCATCTGGTCAAGTAAGCAATACGCTTCAATCAGGGAATGCACCATGCTGGCCTAAAGAGAAGAATAAGACCGTGAGAGTAGGAGACAGCCAGCAACAGGGAGCCCAAAGACTCGCGGACGAGGCGTGGCTCAGACTCCTCCCAGTACCGACTTTCCCTGCCCGGGTCCCATCTCCGGCCCGTCCCCGTGCAGTGTGAAAGGGCCTTCCTTTCCGGTGTTCCAGGCACAAGCACAGTCGCGTACGGCTTCCCGGGGAAGAAAGCGTCGCTTTAGTGTCCGAGCCCGCGCTGCCAGGGCTCGGATGTGAAGGCACAGACGGGCCCTCCCCGCTCTAACCCCAAACTCCTCCCGCCCGGGCCGCTCGTTTCCCCCGCTTCCTCCTTTCCTAGCGCGGTGCCCGGCGCCCGCTGCCTCTGCGCCCGGGCCTCACCGCTGTGCTCCCCGCGCCCCCTCGCCCCCACCGCGGCGCTGACCCGCTTGGGCACTTTGCAGAGGGAGTCGCAGAGGGCCACGTACTCCGGGCTGTATACGTAGACCGGCGGCGGCACCGCCGCCATCAGGGCCGGCACAGCCGGGACCAGCACCCGCAACGCCGCTGGTCAAGGCACGCCAGGGCCGGCAGTTCCGGCCCCGCGGCGTGCCGGGAGCTGTAGGCCCGCCCTGCCACTATCCTTCCCCCAGTCCGGCCGCGTAAGAACAGGCAGCCAAGTAGTGTTAGAGACGTTTTTATTGGGGCCCCCCGCGCAGCTCGGGGTGGTGCTTATTCTCTAAGAATGTCATTTTAAAAGGCCCGTGGCCTGCCCGCAGTCCCGCCCTACTTCAGGAGCTGCACCTCAGGAGGTGCCCGGGCTCCCCCGAACCCCGGCAGCACTCACCGGCTCCCTCGGGCCCTTCACGGCCCCCCTGACGGGAACAGGGGTCACAAAGGGAGGGATTAGCCATTATAGGAAAGATGTGTGCTAATGCCTTTACAAACAATTCCATGGGTGAGGGTATGCGTGTTAACGTCTTAGAAATGGGTCTTAATGTTTCTACCCACTTCAAGCCACAGGTTTGTTACAGAACCGAGACAGTTTGACTCCTGAAACAGACAAATGAGTCCACACAAGCCTAAGTTTCTGAACTTTGGGGGAAAACGACAGGCTCAAGGGGAGAATATGTGCTAGGCAGTTCGGGAAGGCTGTACCTTCCTAGTATCTCAGCCAACGGAGTAAGGAAGAGGGCAACATGTGGGCGGGAGTTTAGGATAAAAAGAGGCTGCACTCTCCGAAACATCGAGGATCTGGCGGGATGATGGCCCAGTGGACTCTCCCTTTATTTGGATAAAGTTGCAGGACTACTCTGTCTCCTTTATGGACACTTTTTTTTCATAGCATGATCTTTCATACAGCCATCTGTACAGAAGAGCTGCTGCCCCAAGAGACCAGCTGGCTTTGAGGCCAAACCAACCCTGACATCAGAAAACACAAGCACACACAGAGGAGAACATCTGGCTCTGGAGCCAGCCCTATCCACAGTGGACTGGCCGATTTTCAGCCTGGTGGCCACCCCTGCACTCACACACAGCCAGCCCCGGGTGCACCACAGGCTGCGTGGGCACAGTGTTGGCACATGGCATGGGCCCCCTCACCCTGCCAGCTCAAGACACAAGTTCAGCTGCTGTCCATCACCCTCTCAGAAGGAGCTCAGGCTGTGACATCCACCTGGTAGAAACCACATCTGCTGTGCTTCCTAGAGTGGATATGGCCCCTCAGACAGAACTCCCATGAAAACACACAGCCATCCAGGCCTCTGGGTGCAAGGAGTGCCAGAGCCTTTCACTGGGAAGGAGAGCAGTAGTGAAAACGGTGGTGTTCCGTGAGACCAACATCTGCCTGCCTCAGCTATGAGAGGACATAGAAATAAGGGGCATAAGGGAGAAAGACTGAGAAAGACTGGTAGAACCAGGCTCTGCCCTCCCTGACAGGAACAGCCAGCCCAAAATACACAGGTTCAAGGGGATCCTATATCCTCCCTTGCCAGGTGAAGGCAGTAACTTAAAGGAAGAGAGTGTGTGGAGGCAAACGCCCTCCTTGCCCACTTTGCCTCCCCACGTGCCTTTATACAGCATGTGTGAAGCTCTCACATGGAAGGCCAGGCAATGGGTGACGTGGATTTTAGCCCATCTACACCAGAAGCGTTGCCATAGCTGTGACACCCCCAGACCAGGTCCACCTCCACGAGAAAGATGGGTTAGAGTTGTAGGTGACGCCTTTCTGAGGGCCCAATATGCCACACAGACAGTCCTTTTAGGGAAGTCTGCTGCCTCCCTGGGGCCCAGGTTAAGCACAGCACTACGAAACTTCCCAGTCGGCTTCAGTTTCAGACTGTTATCCACTGCTGCTCTTCCAAGTGGGTGGCAATGAAACTGCAACTCATAGTCCAAGGGCAATCAAAGGAGACGTCAGGGCCTGGGGATGGTTGGTATGGGATACTGGAACACAGGTTCTTTCGTCTGTCCTTCCAGTTTTGGGCAGGAACATTGAAAGAGATGAACTCAGTCTGTAGAATATATGGCTTGGTGGCTGATGTCACTGCCACAATTTCAGGTTTTTTAATACTTTTTAAAGTATCTTAGATGGGATCAACCTTTCCCAAAGGAGAAGGGAATCTTTGCTCAGAGCTGTGCTCAGTGACAGCTGTAAACCAGTCTTGGAGGGGGACATAGATGATATCAGGCTGGCCTGTGACAAGCTGTGGGACATTGCAAGGTCAAAGGGTGTGACGGTTCTTGGCCTATTGCTCAATGTGCTGAGTGTACTGGAGCACACCTGAAGTCTTAGGGAGGTGAACTAGGAAGCCAAAACGGAACCCCACTTCCTCCACCACTTTGTGGCATGTGTGCCTGACCCTCAGCAGTCCAACTGCACTATCCTGAGTGGGGGCTGACCTGCAGAATAGATTAGAGCAGGGACCCACTGTGTCCCCAACCTTCTCTGTGCCAGGCTGTGGGAGATGGGGCAGAAGCAGAGATGAGCATTAAAACCATGGTTTTGATTGAACATGTAACACCAAGTAGTCACCTCACCTCAGAGCTGCTTCACAGGGCACAAGAACTCAGGAACCTGTGACTTGGCCACTAGCACCGCTGCCAGGGATAGAGCAGATGGCACAGAGGGGCTGCCACTGGCATGCCCCAGCCAGCCAGAAGCCCAGGACTAGCAGCTTGGAGATAAAAGGGATCCTAGCTACCACAACCTCCCCAGCTCTGCACACAGGACACCCAGTGGGGGATGGTGGGCTGCCTGCTTCCAAGCAGCACGGCTGTGGCTGCGCTGGACCATATTGATTTTGGATGTGCTGGGAGAAGGGCTAAGGCACCATCCCCTATTTTTCTCTCAAAACTTTTCCATCAGCAGCAGGAAGAGCAAGAACCTCAGCCTACACTAGCATAAATCCTGCCGGATTTAGAATAAAAAGCAGCACAGAAGAGGTTAAAAACTGAAAACCTGATGGAGGCAGAGAGAGTGTGAGCTGGTCAGAGAGCATTGTAATGCTGAGCACACAGGTCTGGTCAGGGGAGCCCTTTCCAACTTCCTCAAACAGAGGTCTTTCCAGGGGTAATGGTTCAGGAGCAGTCATGCAGACAGAACCTTTTAACACAGGCACACATCAAAGCTCAGCCTTTCCCTTGCTCTGCAGGCCACACAGGTACAGCTCACTTTAGGACACATGCCTCCTGTGGAGTTCCTCAGAGGGCTGCTCACCCACCAAGAGGCAAGGGCTGGGAGGAGAGATGGCCACGCAGGCTGCCTTGCAAACTAACCTAGCGTTCATCTTTACAAGCTGTATGAAACAACCATCCCAGGGCACGTACAACTCAGTGAGGAACTGCAAGAGCTACTGCATGGAGCAGCCATCTGTGGGCAGAAAGTCGTACACGTACAAGGCCACCGACTTGGACAGGTAGGTCATGGTGCCAAACCGGCCACTCGGTGCACTGTCATACAGCAGGCTGCAGATGCCTGTCGAAGGATCCCTCTCCAGCATGTGCTCATCAGCGCCCAGGGCTTTCTAGATTTTGGACAGGGAAGCAGAAAGGCATCATTAGGAATAAAGGCAATCCCCATATCAGCTTCCATCCCAAGCATCCTCTGTTGCACTCAATGTGACAATGAGTGCACTCATTGATGATGAGCAGTGGAAGGAAGACACCACAGCTTTGCTGTGCCCCATGAACACAATGGGGACGACAGGGCTCTACAAGTGGGTGAGCCCTGCACAGCTCCGGGGAATGTAGCCAGCAGCCCTGGGTGAAGCCTGGCCCCTACCTGCTCCTCATAGAAGAGGTCATTGGCTATGTGCAAGATCTTTTCCACAGCTATGATGCCACCAATGGTGTGCACCTCCATGTCCACAAGCATGGTGAGCACTAAGATAGCTTCCACCAGCAGCTGCCTGTACTCTGGCTGGGGCACACGGTTGAGGACAGATTCCACATGCACAGCAAACTTCATTTCCCCTGGGGTCATCTGTGAGGGGGTAGAAAGAAATGTACCTTGAGCACTGTATCACCTGCTCAATTCCTGAGCTATGCTGGGCAACCACCCAGGGTAACCAGCACACAATAACCCATGTGCCCCGTTCACATGAACCTCCTACCTCCCTGGTTGTCGAGGAGGGAAGAACAAAGCCCTCCACAGAGAGGCCATGGCACTGCAGAACAAGGAAGAGAGATCATAGTTATGGCTTGGAGAAGCACCATGCTAAGATACACAGGTCCAGCCCACAGACTTGCTCCCACTTGAGCACTGATGCATGCTGCCCATACACCCCAGCTCCACCTCCTGACTCCATACAGCATTACTCCTTTCCCATCAGTTCAGCGTCAGCCAGAAGCCCCCTGCATAGGGCTCTGCTCCCTGGCTCACCATGCTGAGTATGATGAACCCAGAGCACCTTCAGCTGGGGCTCCAGCCATGCCCTTGTCTGCCTGATGCACGAAGCACCTGAGCAGACCCCAGCTCCCCTCTGCAAGGTGCAGTCTGAGGTAGGTCCTACAAGACTACAAGGCAAATGCATGTCTTCCACAGCTTTTCAAGGTCAGCTGCAGGCCTTGTCTATGAAGCATATATCTACACAACATCGGGACCAGCCCTGAGTGCCTAAGTCCCCCTGGCAAGACTGCTGCCTCTGCCTGGGACCAGAGACTCACATGCATGGAGAGGCACCAGCTGATGTCTAACTCACCTTCTGCAGGACCTTCCAGACCTTCTGGTAGAAGCCCACAGGGACACGGTTAAGGGCCCCATCCAGCCGGCGCCTCCGCTGCCACTGGCCCTGCCGGCTGTCCTTACTGCCCTGGTCTTCTAGCATGCTTGAAAAGGAGTCCTTGCCCAGCAGCTCTGTGTGCCCAGCAGACTGGGCAGACAAAACAAGAACCACAGAGACTGCTGCAAAGTTAAATATCCCACAGAAACCCAGCCTGCTGCTACTCAAGAGTTTGTGGTTCTCCAGCCTCATTCCCAAGACAGAGCTGCGACTCCCTACCCCCAGCAAAGCCCATCTTACAGCCCCAGCTCCCTGTAGCACCCCTCAGAGCACAGCTCCCTCCTGCAACCCAACAGGACAGACCCCATGTGTGCAGCCAACAAACACAGGTTACCAGAAAGGACTTGAGGTCGGTGTCCCTGGACTGCAAACTGAGCGGCTGAAGGAAAAAGGGAGAGATGGAAATGAGATCATGCCAGAGCAGGGCAGCAGACACAGCAAACAGAGCAGAAGCAGTACAGATCAGGATCACGTCATAGGGCAGTTATCCCAGGGCCAGGGTTGGCTGGAGACAGGGAGTTTTGAAAGGAAAGCTGCAGAGGGCTGCACATGCTAGGGCTGCAGCAGCAGTGGGTTTGTGCTGGCCTGCACACAGGAATAGGACTGCTACTGCTCTGCTGGTTACTGGTATGGGCAGTGATTTAGTCTCAAGGTCACTGCCCCCAGACAACCATCTGTGATGTCAGGTTTCACACAGCAGCAAGCTGGGCTTAACTCTGCTGCATCACCCTGGCCCAGCAAGCTCCAGCTCTTTGATGACAAGACACCTTCTAAAGCTCAGGACTCCTCCTGGATACAGGCATAAGAGGAGGTCCTTGGCATTTGTAGCTGACCAGATGCCTCTTTCCCCAGAGAAGAAATGGTAGGAAGGCTGCAGGCAGGATTCAGTGAACTGTCCTGCAGAGTCACTACTAGTCATGGCACTGGCAGCATCATACCATCTCACTCAGCAGATTTTGTGGGTATAATGGAATGCATTTGAGCACAGCTCCCAGCTGGCTGTAATGGCAGTCACTTAGAGGGGAAGCCAACTCATTGCTGCAGAAGCTGAGGGAAGCTCATTGACTTGTGCATGCAGGGAAGCTGCCCTGGTGCATGGCATGAGGGGCAAAAGCTGAGGCTTCAGGACCAGGGAGGCTTCACCTTACTCCCAGGCAGAGACTGCCTACGTTTATCCAATTGCTGCAAGAGAAGAAGGACATGAAGGCTCTGCTGTTGGAAGATGCCCACCAAGACATCAGCCACACCTGGGACACGACACGGTCCTCCCCACCCTTGTGCGCCTCCTGAACTGCCAGAGCAACCCCTACCCACTACCAGATTGACCCAAACTTTCCTCCCAGGGCAGGACTGGAGACAAAATTAGCTCCTGGAAGCATCCGTGTTTCCCACTCTTCCACCAGTTCTGCCTGGTTTGTAGCTGTTTTTCACCCACAAGACCTGTCGTGAGTGGCCTGCACCACCTGCCCTCACCTGTTTGATTTCACTTTTCAGCCTGACAAGGCCAGTGCGCTCAGGCCTGGTGGCCCCGACAGCTTCCATGTCACAGATGGAGACAGCAGTGGTGAGCGACGAGTCCACTGAATGCACTGGTGGAGAAGAGAGGTCTAGAACGGGCAACATCACTCAAGGCACGGCCATACCTCATCACTGCCTGGGGACTGGTGCCTCTGCGTGACCTTGCCCTCTAATATGACAGCATCAGAGATCCATGAGCACAGTACACAACTGCTTCAATTCAGACCCAACCAGGCCAAGTGCCAAACTAAGAAGAGCTCAAATAGCCATGAGATTCAGGCTTGATCCCAGAAATCACTCAGCACTGTCTTTATGAAGAGCAGAGCTTCCTGCTGGACCCCCAGTACTGAAGCATCTGTGCTGAACATGGGGGAGAACAGGGACACCCCTCACAGGTAGGGACACCCCTCACAGGTAGGGACACCCCTCACAGGTAGGGACACATAGATCTGGCCATGCTCTGCACCCAGCTTCACCCCGAGATGCTCTCTGCTGGGACTCACCGCTCCTTTCCACCCCAAACTCCTTGCCAGAGAGGATGTGGTAGAGGAGGCTCTTCATGTCTGATGGGCTGAGATTCATCAGGTTCTCTGTGGCTTCTCCAGCTGGAGAGAAGAGAACTGTGATTTTGTAGCCTGCCTCACAGTCCTCCTAGGACATATCTATCCTGCATGCCATTCTGTGAGCAGGGGGAGCACTGGTACAGGAGCTCATCTGGTAAGGACATACACTAGCTCCAGGTGTTGCCTATAACATGGACTCTTCCCATGCCAGCCCGATACATGCTGGGATGGAGACTGCAGTGCAGTCACTTGTTTTGTGCTGCTCAAGAACACATCCAGCTGCAGATGCTGGCACATCCACGCAGGGTCTTGTCCTAGCCCGAGCTGCCCACTTCTAACAGTACTTCTTCCTAGCTGACAGAGCCCCAAGCATCACAGCACCTACACCAGCTAGGGTGCTGTCCCTACCACATGTACCTGAACAATGCAGGGAGTGTGCCAGCTCTGTTGCCATCACCTGGATGATGAGCCCAATGCGGATGCGGAACATCTCAGCGAACAGTGCAGGCTGTGTGCGTATGTACATGGCCAAGTACACCATGATCTCCTGGGGGGGAAAAGGCACGTCACCTCACTGCTGCTCACCAGGGCAGACACCTAGCTGTGGGGTCCTCTGACACCCTGGCCCCTCACCTGGGTGAGGACAGACACACTGAGGTTCTTCTCACTGGCTTCATCAATAAGGCGAACGAGTTCCTCATAGGGGATCGGGCTGGGGTGCGGACAAACAGCAGAAAAGGTGAGAGGCAGCAGAGCAAACCCTGCATACCCCCAGTGTGTACAGCCTCAAGAGGAGAGATATAGGCTGGAGACAGCCACCCAGGGCCATGCCTACCCATGGCCCCCAGAGCAGCAGGCTCACATCCAGACCCAGACAGCATGCTTGAAGAGAGAGAGGTGCCACACTCACGTGGAGATTGTCTTCTCACGTGGCTCTGGGGGCAGCCCCACCGTCAAATGTTTCTGGTGAGACAGGAGGTCAGTACAGGCCTGGGGACAGAAAGGCAGCCACGGTCAATAGCTGAGGGTTTGGGGGCTCAGCACAAGGCAGAGGGAGACAGAGCTGATGCAGCCATGGCTCACATGCTCACTCTGCTGCCTCCACCCTGACAGACCTCAGCCTGCTAGAGGCTAGCTGTACAGCTGTTACCTCATCCAGAGCTTCAACCTTCTTCTTGAGGATGCCAGAGATATAGCGGATCAGGGCCCACTGGCGTGTCTCCCCCACCCGCACATACAGCTCAGTGAGGAGTTCCTTGACTGTGGGGCCAGGCTCACTATCAAGCCCTGTGTGCCACTCGGGTCCCCTGTGAAGGAGGTGCTGCGTTATATCCAGCAATCTGCCTGTAGCAGCTCCCTGGCAGGCCCCCTGGGCTGTGCCAAACCCCTCTATGCACAGTGAGGCCTTAGGACAGAGAGATCATCCTACTTGAGGATGTGGAGCATGTAAAGGATGTCTGCTTGCTCCTGCAGAGTGGGGCAGATGCACAGCTGGTCCACCAGTGCCTTGCAGTCCACGTTGCCGTCCTTGTCACGTGGCAAGTTCATCTCTGCGTAGAGTGTGTGGCTCTGTGGGAAGGGAGACCCATGCTGCTGATTAGCACCACCAGCACCCTGGACCAGATGGACCCATGCATATTTCCCCTCTTCAAACAACAAGACTTCCCCTTGCAATCCCGCGAGGACACTCTGGCTATAGCTGAAAGGATAACTCAGTCTGGGAGAGACAGAGCTCACCTTGCCATCCAAGTCATGCTGGTGGGGTGAACTCAACAGCTTGACCGACTGCTGCGATGCCTGGAAGATCCTGCTGGGGACATACATCCCAACATCTAAAAAAAACCCACAGGTTGGAGGAGACACGTACAGCCCCAGTCACCACTACTGTGCCCCAAACTACCTCAGACACTCTGACACTGCTCCCCCAGCAGTCCTTGCAGAGAAGTTGCTATGGGAGAAGCATCCCCTGTCCACCTAGAGGAACACTGCAGGGAGCTGCCATTCTTTATTGAGTTTCCATGAGGCTGCACAGGCACCAACTCCAAGATACTCCATGACCAGGACTAACATGATGGATATAAAGTGCCTTTGTGCAGGTAAAGGCTTAGTTCCTCTGCAATCCATGGGAACCCCAGCATCGTATGGCTGTGAAAGCTCCCAAAACACTTCAACCTCACTCCTGGGCTCAAGGGAAGGTGTGGAGGGTGTTGGAGTTACTCACTCTGGACATGCAGGTCCTTGGCCTTGGATGCCAGGGACATGAGGTCACGGGTGGTGTGGACAGCAGCCCTGAAGCGGCTCAGCCCTCCCCGCTGGGTGGTGGGAGGCAGGTTTGACTGGGGAGTCGTGCGCTGCAGCAAGTGATCCAGATACTGAGCAACCTCATCGTCAGTGTCCTCTGGAAAGGAAGGCAGCAGAGCAGGGATTCAGCCACTTTGTGCTGTGGCAACCAAAGGCCCAGAGAGCTCCCAGTTATGCCTCAGCAGGGACAAAGCTTTGCTGGCTGCACAAAGTGACAATGTAGGGCCAGGTGGACTAACGGACAGTGCCAGCAGCCAGGCACACAAAGCATGCCAGCTCCTGCGTGACTCATGCCTGGGACACTGCCTGCCTCAAACTGGGGCTCCCTCCATGTCCCACCTTGACAAAGGAAGCAATGGGGCTGCAGCATGTCTCTGATCCAAGCCTGTGCAAGGACAAGAGTGTCCCACTCAAACCCTATGGGAAAACCCTCACACTCCTTCTCTCTAGGGAAGAAGTGGGGAGCTACAGCCAGAGGCAGCTTGTCCAAGCAGAAACCACTTACAAGCACCCCAGCACAGCAAGAGCATCTTCCAAGCAGGACTCCACCAAGGGAGCAAGACAAGACGGGTTTTGCAAGTTATTTTTAAGCTGGAGTTACAGGAAGAGTTATGGTTCCTGCCTTGCTCTTTGCCCAGCTTCAAGCAGCTCCCAACATCAGGAGCACCAGAGACACCATGCACTAACAGCAGCATAGAAGAAGGTGCTCAGAGGCCAGGTCTCTACTCTGTAAAAGTGGTAAAAGTGAGGGGCTGCCCCAGATAAAACACAGAGATGTCAATGCACTTACAGTGAGCCAGGGCAAAGCTATGCAGCTCTCCAGCTGGCAAACTCCGAGGTGTGCTGGCCCCAGGAGATGAGCTGCTGACTGCACCTGAAGCAGCATGGCATCCCCTTTCCATCCCTCGATGGAATGCCCCATAACAATGCCTGAGGGCTAGGCATGGACTATCCTAAGTGGCACCCTTGAGAACATTCACCTGCCTGGCTGCAGCATCTGACCACAGGAAAATCTTAGAATTTAGCATCTTTGAGATGCTGTTGAAAGGCCAGGCAGATCCTCTCACTGGAGCTGGGAGGCAAAGCAGACACCTTGGACAAAAACCCTGATGCAGCCTGTAAGGAGGCCGCAGGTGAAGTGAGAGAAGGGCAAGAAAAATGAGCATTCAGAGTCCCAGCAGTGCGTTCACTGGCTGCAGGAGCTGCAGAGGTAAAACAGATAGTGGGAGGGCTGATGATGGACATGTCCCCAGGCCTGCTTGTAAGGGGAACAGCAAAACTTGCACCCTGCCATGGTCCCAACACAAGTGGGGGGGGGGGGGTCCCTCATGCTGTAATGGGTCAAGGCATTCTCAAGTACTCTCTACATAGCAGTAAGGCTTCAATTTGGCACTCACTGGAGCAGCTCTGCCCAGGGGAGGGACAAAGGCTTTGGGAAAAAATAGAGATTTATCAGGGACATGGTGGCTCTTCCCCGCCACCTTGGTCACTGTGCTATCATCTTCTGCAATGCCATTTATGCATGAAAGACCCTCAGCCACCATCTCCCAAGTGGAGGCAGACTGCCAACCCTTTATGTCTTCTCCATACAGCAACTCACGAAGGTCAGAGCCACTCATTCCAGACAAGATCAACAGAGGACCAGATGGGAACACGGTGAAAACCCAAGCACAAGAAGAACACAGCAGTGGACGCTGGCAGGGAGATTGGGTGTTATGGTTGTAAGGGTGAGTTAGGCATTTGCCACCCCACAGCAGTCACTGGCCTGCTCTCCCTTACCATCCTCTGCTACCTGCAAGCCACGCAGACGCTCCTTAGCATCTAGCTTTTCAAAGCTGTCACTGCTGAGCCTGTAACTCTTGGCAAAGACCTTACCCTCTGGCCCAGGATCCATAAAGCTGAGGTGCGTTCGGCATGACGTTGTCAGGAACTCCGACAATTTACCAGTCTGAATTCTGGGCAAGAGATAGGAAGATCACATGGAGAGGAAAGGGGAGGTGATACCCTTGGCTTTACCTCCTGGCTCCAGGGCAGGCCCTTTGATGGGGAGAGACATGTTCACCAGGAGCATACACAAACTGGTGTCTACTTTAGCTGCCTGCAACTCTTTCAGCCATGGGTGGGCATGGAAAGGCTGCTCAAAAGCTATTAGAGGAATCCTGCAGCCATGAGTTTGATGACATGAAGAGCTATGTCCTCTCTTTCATCTCCTCTGTTGGAATTGTAGCCCCAGGGCATGGTGATAGCCTGGCACACCCCAGTGTATCCTCCCCAGCTTGCTCCCCCACAGCCTACGCTCTGCCCAGCAGTATCCTCATACCCAGGCTCTTGGAGGCCATCAGCCCTCTCCCTCCTGCACTTCAGGAAGCTGCACTCACCTTGCACCACCGAAATACCCATCCTGCAGCTTCTGCAGCATCGCCAGCACTGTGGGATGGACACTGCTGTTGGTTTCATCTGTATTGAAGATGCACAGGCAGTCAGTCTCTCATGCTCAAACTTGCTCCCAGAAAGTAACCCAACACCAGGTGGGCGTTCAGACACCCAAAGCACCAAGGCCAGACCCTTACTCTGGGGTATGTGGTCAGGCTATGGTACCAAAAGCACCACCCAAAATGGAGAATTCTGGACTGTCCAGGCTGGATTCAAGGAAAACCATGAGTGGATGTACTCCAAGCTCCTCGGATTTCACGCTGGGCTAAAGCAGACAGTACCAGCCCCCCGCTCTGTCTCTGCCTTTCGCATGAGGAAGCAGAGGAGTGGACTGCTGTTGAGGGCAGGAGTAACCACAGCAAAAGGCACGCTTGAGAAATTAAGGAGATTTCAAGTACCCAAGGAGAGACAGAAAGGCCTTAAAGCAGAACAAAGTCACCTTCCAGCACCTGGCTCACAGAGAAGCTGTGAGCTGCTGCAGGCAGGCCAGTTCTACTCTGTGCCTTTGCTCCTTCTGGTTTACTCTTTTACCCTCTCCGTTGACTAGGACCTGCCTTTAGCAGGTGCTCAGTCTTAGGGAAGAGTCAAGACACAGAAAGAGCAGCAAGAACACTTCTATAGAGAAATTGCTTTCTTGGTCTTACTCCCAAAAGGCCTTCCTACAAGCCTATTTGCCTGGAGTCTGAACACATCTGTGCCAGTAAACAGCCCTTGAGCTGCAGGCACTAGTGCCTGACAGACAACCCTGTTAGGTGCCAGGCCAGCTGTCCACTCAGCATGGTTGCTCTGAGCAGTAAGCTCTTCACAGGACACTACTGGCTGCTTCAGCCTGACCAAGTCCCTGTTACTGAGATGGTCACATATCTGCCCACCCCCTTCCTCCTGCAGAGCTATTTCCCAAGGCTGCTCTAGCCAAACGCCTTGTGAGGCTGGAGTATCTATACCGAGCATGGTGTGGGAGATGGGGAAGGTGATGGTTGGTTGCCCAGTCATCCTCCAGCGGCTGCAGAGGTAGGAGAGGTCCGTCCTCAGCATCTCCACGATCATCTTGTTGTCAAGAGCCAGGTAGAACTGCTGCTGATCTATGAACTGTGAGGACAGCAAGAGACTTGGGCCCTTCATGCAGTTACCGGGTCCTTATGGCACCATCCATGTCTTCCCACAGGCACAGTCAAGCTAGCCACGCTGTGCACCCAGAGGGCACCCACGTTTGCACTAAGGCTCATCCCACCTTACTTAGCAGGTGTGCTAGTGTAGCCTAGCAAGGGACCCTCAACCACCGCAGCAGCTACTGGCCACTAACAACTATGAGGACGTAAGTAACGCCACAGCTCAGCAGTAGCAGCATCCAGCCCCACACAGCCAGTCCATGCTGTGCCTGTTTCAAGTGAATATACACTCCCCAGAGTGCTAGGCTTGCAACACTGCTGGTGCCCTGGACACATGTCCCTGGCCTGCCATCAGCCTCCTTCTGGAGTCCCTGTCAGGATGAGTAGAGATTTCCATCCAATACTGATCATTAAAAGGCTCAAACTGTCCCAATATCCACACAGCCAGGACTACCAACTGTGCTGCCTCATGCCACAGAGTTGGACTACTCTGCACTCCCAAGCTGTTCAGAGAGTGTTGGATCACACCTTAGAATAATTTGAGTACCCAGCCATCGAAGAAACTTTCTGCCCAGTTTCACATCACAGAATAGCTAGGAATGAGCCCGTGCAATGTCACTCACCTGTGGGGTAAAGGTAAAGATGTTCCTCCTGATTTTGTAGAGCTTGGAGGTCCCAAGGACACCCATATGCCGGTAGGGCCGTCCAGTAAGGCACATCTGTTTGTTGCGGCCTGGGAGGGCAGGAAGAGGAGTTTTTAGTACAAGCCTCCTCATGAAAGGGGCTGCAGCAGCAAGTAGTGCCAAGCCTCTTGCTACCAGCCAGCAGGGAAATGCTGGTTTGTAGTTGGGACATCCCAGAACCCTGTGTCAAGCTGGTACAGCTCTAAGGGACAGTAATTCTCTGTCCCCAGACCTGCTCAGAGGGGTAGAGACATGCTGAAACAGCAATACACAGCCTGTCCTGACTTCTGCAGTGTCACATCTTCTGGTCTTTGGGTACGTCGGAAGCGGGAGCAGGGCTACGGGTGCCCCTCTGCATGGGGCTGGCCCCCATAAGTTAACAGCTCTATCAGCATACCAATTGCTCTTGGCTTACTCCCAAAGCCCAGGATGGTGCAGCAAGAGCATCACCCTTTGCTTGTCAGCTCTGGCAGCTGCCAGGCTGCTCCCCCTGCCCATGTCACATTTGGCCTTTTGGTGGCCTAAATTAGCTGCCAAATTAAAGCACAGCAGATCAGGTATCTCTTTTGGCTCAGGCTAAATCTCTGGCTCCTGCAAAACAAACCCCATGCTCGAGGGGTTGCAGCATCAAGGAGCAAGCATACAGAGGTGAGCACATCCTCCGTTCACACTCAGCCCTGCCCACCCACCAGCAACAGCCACACTGCCTGAGCTCTGGGCTCTCTTTGCCAGGGATGGCCAGAGGACCCTTCCTTGGGTCTGGCTAGCCTCCCCCATCCAGATCTGAGTACGGGAATGGAAGACAACTCCTGCCCATACGAGGTGCAACCTATAGGGATCAGAGTCTCTGTCTGTTTCTGGGGTGACTGTGCAATTGCAAGCCAAAGCTCTATCCCTCAGAATCACACTGAACAGCACTGTCTGCCACCTTGTTCCCCTTGGGCATCAGTGGTTTTATCAGACCTAGAAATGGGCAGCAGAATCCTCATCAGTCAAGCAGAGAGCAGGACATGAGTGTCTATGAGCAGGAGTGCCAGGGGTGGGACAGATCCCTCTGCACCCGCTTTGCTGCAGGAGCAGGGAGTCCAGCTCACCCAGCCGGGCATAGATGTGGCTGAGAATGCGAGCAGGCTGCACTCTGATGGGGTAGACGTCTGCCACAGTCTCCACGTCAATGCCTTCCTTCTGCAGGATTGCCTTGATCCCCTCTGTTTCAGCCAGCATACACACTGTGGATGGAAGACAGTCTCAGTGCAACAGAGACACAAGGGTGTGACAGTACTGCCCCATGCCTTTAGGGACACATACAAGGCACCACACCACAGAGAGGAAGCTGTCTGTGGTCTCTTGGGAACCAGTTCCCACTGCAGAAGTCTGCTTAGCCCCTCCTAACACTCTGTACACACAAGTCCTCCCCATCAGGTGACAGGAAGACAGTTTTCAACCTCTCTGCAGAGGAGGCTGCATCAGATGATGGTTTTGTGGGTCAACACAAGATGAAATGGAAGGACTTGCACCTTCCATCCACTTTGCCAGGGCTGAGACTAGGCTTTATTGGCAATAACCCAGTAGCAGAGCCACCCTAGAGCCACCTCTGTGAATTCCACGGAGCCAGAGCACCCCCCACCTGTCAGGCTCAGGGGTTTGGGACTGGTTCCTTTCCCTCACCTTGGACTACCACATCAGGTTTAGGGACAGTCGCGAAACGGCGGTTGAGGGGATCTATTTCACCGGGAGCTAGAAACCCCTGTGTGGAAAAAAGGTATAAAGAGATTAACATTCTATGGGTAGGGTAGAATGGGTGATGCCTACAGACAAGCCACCTTTAAGAGCTCCTGGGGGATGGAGGTGACAACTTCCCCATGGCAGGTGGCAGCATCTGTGCCTTCACAGCTCAGAGCCTGGTCCCACAGCCCTCCCCAGCACACAGGGTGACCCTACCTCGGCCATCAGACAACCCAGGATGTAGAGGGACTGTCCCCACATGTGTGGCAGCTTGCCCATGGGTATCCTGTCCACAGTGTGTGGATTCCTGTATTCTTCATCCACCTGGAAGACAAGCTAGGAGGTCAAGAAGGGATCCTCAAACACAGGATGCTGAAGGAAGCATCCTCACTGCATCTTGAAGTCCAGCAGTTCAAGGCTTAAAACAAGGCCCAACAACAGCATTTGTCACAGAGGATACAAAAGAGCATGGTTACATTCCTCCTCTCTTCTTACGACTGCCTCAAGCATCCATATCAGACAACAGTGCAGCTGCTCAGACCATGTTTGGTTTCTCAGCTTGGGCCATCCCACTAGAAGGACTGACATGCCCCAGGAGCACAGAGAGATGCTTTCTGATACTCCTGAGGAATACATCTCTCCTGGATGACCTGGGCATCAGGAGGCCACTGCTCTTAGCCCAGGAACACACAAATCCCCTCACCACTGAACTGGAGCTCAGCACCACCTATTCACCCTAGGTGTGCGTGTCCTGAGCTCTCAGAGCACTCGGTCTCTGAGCAAATAGACTGTCAGCAAAGAACTCCTGTGTGTGTGGGAGCAAGAAATGCTTTGGGAGAAAAAAATCAATTTTTATCCAACACGGTTTTGTAACAGCCCCAAGCCAACCTTTTAATACATGAGGCTTCTATGCACTACATGTGCCCCTTCACTAAGGATTTGGCTTAATAAGCACTTAAAGCTTAGTTATTGGCTAATGAGACCAGGAGTTTCAGCAGTTAGACTTTCATGATCCTTGTGGGTCCCACAATATCCTGTGACTCTGTAAGACACTCCTGCTTCCCACCACAGCTCAGGATCACTCACCTTATCCGGTGGAACACTATACAGCTCCGGCAGCAGACGTATCCCATTCTTCCCCTTGATGAGAACCCCCTCAAGGGCTTCCCGGTACTCCTGCACCTGAGGAGAGAGGAGAGGGAATCTACTGCCAGTCATGGCTCCCTGCATCCTTCCTCTGCACACTTCTCCTGCCAGGGACTTTTTTCCACTAGCCCAGCAGGTCTTGCTTCTCTTACCTGCTCCATGTTTCCACTGAAAATCCCGTCAATCATCAAGTATGCCCAGAAGAGAGGCCACTCACACTCAATGTTCTCAAACAGCTTCAGCTCAGCAGGTTCATAGTAGAGGCGTTTGGGGTCCTGTTAGTGACATCAAGGCAGGTGGTATGTCACAGGATCCTCTCAAACTGACAGGGCTTCTACGCCTCCTGAGACCCAGGACTCAAATGTCCTCTCAGCCCTCCTAGTTCAGTGACTAACAAATGAGATTGTCGCTTATAAAATTTTCCTGTTTTCTCTCCCCAAAGCAGCAAACTCTCCACTTGCTCCCAGAGCCATTCTGCGAGTACCCAAGCCGACTGCTGGTCTAGGAGAGACAGGAGCAGCTTTGTGTCCTCCAGAGCTACCATAGATAGTGGCACCTCTGTAGTCACCTCCCCAGTCCTCCAGCCCTTGCTCAGGGCTGGTGCAGCCCTGGGAGAGCCCACCTCAGCAGGGCTCCATGCTGGCCATTGGTCTCACCTTCTCCCAGCCTAAGAAAGACACACCACCGTGTCCCGGGATGCAGGCAGAGGCAGCCTCTGGCTATCTGTTACAGGCGTGGGCAATGAGCTCTGGCATTTTGTGGAGCCTTGCCCAGACCCATGACACTGCCGGGGGCTACTCAGGGCTCCCCAGCACAGCCTTTGTGCTGCATCCAGGTGGACTGCTGCCAGGTAGCAGGGCTGAGGACACACACCTCTTTGGGAGTCCTGTATCCATCCCGGAGGAACCGGCAGCAGCCATACCGCCCCTGGAAGGGAGGGAAAGGTTTGCTGAGCACGAGGCAAAGAGTGAGGTATCTTGTACCTTCAGTGCAGAAGCAGGGGCAGTGTGTTTCCTTCAGCCAAACACCCCCTCCCTCACTCACCTAGCACTCAGGTACCACAATCACAGCCCGGGGCCACAGCACACAGAACTGCTTCTTTGCACACCCCTGCCACAGGTCATGGAGAGGACATGCCCAAGCAATCCCCCACAGAACATGTTTTTGGGAAAAAAGGGCTACAGCAGTTTGGACTGCAGCTGTCTCCTGGGAACAGTGAGACAAGGGCAGAGATGCTCACCTGCAGCTTCGTGATAATCTCCTGTTTGGTGATTTCCACCAGCTCACTGTCCTCCACAGCAAATGCCGGGTAGGAGATGACAGAGAGCACACTGGCATCCACCTCCTTGGACGTGGAGGCCCTGGGCAGCATTGAGTGGAGGATGGACTGGGGAAAGGGGAAGGAAAGGTAGTTAGGCTGTCAGGCCAGGCATCATTCACACTGCAAACAGCAGATCACAGTTCCTCTTGCAACAGTGTAATGCCCGAGTGGGGCTCACCTGGCAATGCTGCACCTCATCTGACAGCACCCGTATCACTGACTGTGGGCCTCCCTTGGCTCCAAAAAGATCCAGCTCATCCAGTGCCTCCAGGGCAGCCTGCAAGCAGGGTGAGACCCAAAGAGGCATGTCCTTCACCACGCTGCTCACCTGTAAGACCTCTCACTCCATGCTAGTCCCTGTATGTAAGGCACCGCCCAAATTTGAAATAATTTTAACCCTGCTGTGGCTGCAGAACATGTCTAGTCAAAATGGGACCACATCTCCAGACGTAAAAAGGGCCCGGGACATTTCTGCCACACACCCCTGATTAACTTTTCACTCCCAGTTCAGGCAAAATTCAGGCTAGAAGGGCAGTTTTATCCCAGTGCACAAGAAGAGTCTTGCTACCCACGAACCTATCACTGCATGGAGCATTGAGCTTCAGCAATTCAATATGCTCAGCCTGCCCTGTCAAAAAGCAGCTCAGGGCTACTGGTGCTCTTCATCCCACCAGCCAGCATTGCTTCCCAGCTCACCTTGGCCATGCCGACAGAACTGGCATTCAACTCGGTGATGCCCTGGTTTGTCTTGTCCCCACGCTCCCATATGCCAAAGTCCTGTGAACCAGGCACTGTTTCAGAACACACCCAGAAAGCCTTTGAATCCCACATATCCATGGCGCTTCCAGAAGGTGCTAGGTGTGGCTCAGGGGGAACCCACAGCTGCTCCTAGACACCAGTCCAGTACCTCCACCACCGCAGCACACCCCTCTTCCCCAGCACATGCTACCCACCGCGGTTTTGTAGGCTGCTTCAATGTAGAATACAAGGTTCTGGATAAAGCTGACTTCATCCAAGCTGTGAATTATGTGGAGGCCTAAAGGAGAGAGAAGAATTCACATTAGCCTCTCCAAGCCCACAAGCATAAGCAGGATGGGGCTGATTCCTCCCCACTGCCTGGCTGCCCAACGGAAGCAATCTCCACTCCCACCCCTTACAGCAGCACTGCGGCTTCAGACAAACGGGGCTTTTGGAGAGACCAACATCAAGGGGCCCAAATCCACTTCAGGTACCGTGAGCATAAGAAAACAGTGGGGGGTCACGGAAGCCATTGCAACTGCTTGGTACCCAGGAAGCTGCACCCAAACTGAGACTCTGGTGAACCTGAAGACACTCAAGGCTGCAATGGCAGCCCCCAGCATTACCTGAGGCCGTCATTTGTGCAAGCATGAGGAGGTAGAGGGAGGTAGCATCCATCTGTAGGTGACCCCATTCGTGGTCTCCTACCACAGTGGCACAGGTGTGGGTGTTATACTTGGCATGCAGACAGTCCCTGGTGCTCTGACTGTACTTGAAGGCCTCTACCTTGTCCACCTTGAGAAGGACAAAGAGATGCAGGCATTCATCGAACCCTGTCTCCAGAGAGATCTGACAGCTCCCAAGCCAAGGGCTGGTCCATGCCATGAGTGAAGCACATGGAGTCATGCCTGGCAGGGCAGAAATTCCACAGCCCCTGGGCTGAGCCCCACTGTGCACCAAGGACTGAGCGCAGGCTCTCGTGCTGCTGCGGCACAGGACTGCAGCAGTGGAGGGCCCACTGCCTCAGCTGCACCATGCAGAGAAAAAAGGGTTACCCCAAACGCCCTCAGGGAGGAGAGCTGGAGAATCCTAGCGCCTGCCAGGCCACGAGACAGGGAGCAGCTGGCAATGGCTCCACTGGCCGCCAGCCCACAGCTCTGGAACTTCAATCACACCCAGGACAGATGCTCACTCAACTTATTTCAAGAGTTGCTGGAAGGGAGCCTCCCCTCTGTTCATCAGGGAAGGCTGGGGAGGGCTGGTACAGCCAGGACAATAGCCTCTGTGGCATAGATGGGGTTTAAAGAGACCACTTGACACTCAGAGGTACTCCCCAGCCCCTACCTGTCTCATCATGCACTGGAGTAGCCCCCGCATCAGCTTCACCACGCTCTGCAGGAACAAGGAAAACAGGTTTGTTAACCTCCAAGAGAAGCCCTGACTCAGGATCAGCTGGCCACTGACCTTTGTGGGGCTCAGTGTCTGTAATCAGAGCTCCTGCTCACATTTTCACAGCCCCGGGGTGACAGCAGAGGGAAGACTTCTTGGTCTGCCAGCAAGACCAGGCTGCCGTGCTATGCAGTAGGACAGAGGGCATGGCTGCAGGACATGGCTCCCCAGCCCTTGAGAAAAGGGCTGCGGCCCCCGGTCACCCCAGAGCCAAAGGTCTAGACCCTCTGGTTGGGCTCTAGTGTGGTCTGGGAAGAGCAGGCTCTGACATCCATTCCTATTGCATCCCGCCTCGGAGGACAGCCGCGTCCTCACCCTCACTGCACTGCCTTTGGGCCCCTGACCCAGCTGTGCCAAAAGCTGACCAGACCGGGGTGACGGCCGCCCTCGAGGGACATCAGCCCCGCCCCCGGCTCCTGCTCCCTCCTACCTGCTCCAGCTCGTAGGCCTTGGCCTTGTCCTCATCGCGGTCGGCATTCTTGCGGTAGGCCAGGCCAAGACCCCACACAGCCAGGATGCTGTACACGTTGTCCCGGACCCAGGCGTCCTGGTAGTCGGCGCTGGCGGGGAGCAGCCCCGTCACCGCGTCCTGCGGAGGGGACACACCGTTCACACGGAACTCCCTGGCCCAGCGGCCAGCGGAGCGCGCCGGGGCCCTGGGCCTGCTCCCCATTCCCGGGCAGGGTCCACACCTGGTGGCGGAGGATAGTCTGCTGCACCAGGCGCCCGTAGGCGTCCAGACGTACGCCCGAGTTGCTCCGGCTCCTCATGACGGCGGCAGCAAGACCAGAACCGTCACTGGCTCTGGCGGGACGGCACGGGTGCAGTCAGAGCCCCCGCCTCGCTCCGCCCCTCCCGGACCCGCTCCGCTCCGCTCCTCCCCTCCTCTCCCCGCTCCGCCTGCTCGCTGCCGCCGACGGCGCTACCCGAGCCGCTCTGCAGCCCCTTAGCGGCCGCCCCAGCCGCGCTGCCCTGCGCTCCTCGTCGGAGGCGGCCTCGGCCCACGGGACGCTCACTACCGAGTGGCCGGACCTGCCACCGTGGAGGCCCCGAGGGTGGGGGGGGCCCTACCGCGCGAAGGCCGAGCAACACTGAATATGGATATGTGGCTACAAGGACAGACACACGGACGGGCACATAGCCATACACACGGATACAGGGACAGACAGGCGGACGCACGGATATCTGTGCCGGTGTTGAGCGGACACCCGGACTGGTGTGTGGTGTGGGACCGCAGGGACGTACAGATGGTCCCCGTACTAGGTGTGAGACTGTACAGACACACAGACGGACACACAGATGAGTACACATGCCAGTATGGGTCTGTATGGACATACACGCGTATGGTAGGTGCATGGACAGAGGCATGGGCATGCACGCAGGCGCACACGTAGAGGTGTGCACACACCTACGCGCACTGGAACACAGGCACAGGCAGACTTGTGTGCACACAAACCTCCACGCGCACATGTGTACACAGCTGTGCTTTGCATTTCCATGTGTCCACGGCCCACGGAAATACACACACACATGCACACCTACGTACATCCGCAGGTGTGCAAACCTGTGGACACCCGCAGGTACACTCGCCTATAAGCACGCACACCCATAAGTACACGGACACACTTCCCATGCACATACACAGGCATAACACATGCGCACACACACCGGCATACACTGTATGCACCTGCATGTACAGGTGCGGGCAGACACGAGTGCACCCACACAGGTGCACCAGCAGCGTTTGGGCACAGTGGGCTCCTGGAGACCGCAGCACACCTCACCCTGGGGACTCCAAAGCCAGGACTCCTGGTGCTCCCCAATGGGAGCTGTGCTCAAGGGGCTCACAGAGCTGCGGGATCTGCAAGAAGATTCTCCCTGCAAGGTACATCCAGACAGCAGGCTGGGACTACTGCACCTGGCAGTCACAGCAATGATGCAGGCATAGTGCCGAGGTCATCCGGGGACAGTGAATCTTTCTCTGAATCACTGCTCCTCTGTGGTAGCACCTGTCCTGCCACCAGCACAGAGGAGATCCCGCTGCTGGAGCAGCCCCTGGGCACCCATGGGTACTCAGGGAAAGGGCCCATCCCAAGAGATACAAGAGCCTTGTTACACAGTGCATATGAGGACACAGGGCTGGGGCCACAAACTTCCAGTGCTCACCCATCTCCAGGTGCCCAGCTGGTCCAAGGGGTGCTGGCAGCAGGTTACAGTGGGGGGGGCCACTGCATCCAAGGGTGTCCAGGGCTGGGGGCACACCACTCTCCATGTCTTTTATCATCACTTGCCTGAATGAGTCAACACCACATGCTTAATGATTGATAGGGCTCAGACCTGTGAGCTTCCAAAAAAGCAGAAGACATTCCCCACTCACAACCAAGATGCGGCTAATTGGGAACAAGGGGCAGGAGAGGAGCCTGGGGCTCTGTGGTTTCTCACTCTTTCAGGATGGGAAAGAAACTTTGAGACTGGCAGGAAAGGGAGGGAGTGGAGTTGACAGCACCCCATCCAACAGCAAACACTCGTGGGAAAAATTAAAGTGCTGAAACATCCCCATGGACTTGGGCCAGAAATAACAGATGGGGCTGGACCTCAAGCAAGAGGAGACCCTGGCAAGAGCCGTGGAAAAACAGCACCCAGGTGACAGTGCCCGCAAGCTCTGGTGCCAAGGATGATGACTGCCACCTATGCCTTGCTGCTCAAAGAATGGAAATTTTGCTCCAGCACTGCAAACGGGGCACCATATCCAGCAAGGCAGGTTTGCTCACAGACACCTACCCACAATAGCCCAGGCAGAGAAATGTCTCAGCCATGATGACAGACAGCCCCAGGAGACCTGGCTCATTGCCCCTCCATGGTCCCCTAGGACTTGCCCTCTACAGAGGGGTGTGGGGCATCTCTTGTTCCCAGCCCCATGGAGGCAGCTGCCTGCAGCCACATCTGGTCTCCTCTGCACTAGGGCAGGTCAATGCTCCATGGGAGGCACTTGTCATAAGCCCTGCTTGAACCAGCTGGGATTTATCCCCGCATCCACCCCCTCCAGTGAAAGCACAAGTGCGGTTGCACAGGGATACAGCGTCTGCGAGCCTATCCCAGGGGGCACCTGCTGCAGGCCAGGGACAGTGCAAGAACAGGCCAAGATGGTCTTTAGCAAAATCAAACAGTTTATTTATTCACAGTCAAGCAATAAATAGAGGAAAGTCAGGCAGCAGGGGTGCTGAGAGCGGGACTGACCCTTCTGGGAACAGGGACATGCCAGGAGCCCAGCAGAGCCCAAGGCCTGTGTGACAGCAAGAGTGCAAGAAGGTAGAGAGACATCTGCAATGGGAGTCTAACCTCTGGAATAGAATGAGACCTGAGCCCTGCCAGAGGGCAAACCAAGGAGCTGAAGAACAAGTGTGTCAGAGGAAACAGCAGACAGAGCCCAGCATAGGCAGCTGCCTTGGCCTCTAGCACTGGAAGCAGAGATGGCAGCTCAGGTCCCTCCAGTTTTTCATAGCCCTTCCAGAGCAGAACCACAGGGAAGGAGAGAAGCTTCCTCCCTCCAGCCCAAATTCTCAGCCTGGTGAGATGCCTCTGCAGTTGAGACTAGATAGGGATGGGGTGCACGTGAGTTGGGAAGGAATGCCACAGGCAAGGTCACATCAGATCCTGACACCACCAATGTATCAAATGCAAAGCACAGAGACACCTGGACTTCTTACCCTCCCTGTCCTGGCTCCACCAGGAGACTCCCAACCACCTCCTAAGAGCTTCATACTCCAGTTTAGGGACACAGCTCATCTCTGAGAACATCAGGCCAAGACCCCCTGCCCACCAAAACCAGGCAGCAGCCATGGGGGCTGCAGGAAGGACAGATGCCATGGGGCAACCACCCCAGCACAGGTTCCTGCCTTTAAAAATCCACAATTTACATAAAACTGTCATTGTAAAACTTCCCCACTGAGCAGCACAGCATGGGGAGGGGAGATGAGCCGAGTGAGCCCCAGGCAGAGCAAGATAAACCCTAAAGTCCAGATCTGCAGGAAGAGGCAGAGCCCAGGGGTGATGTGCTGGGGCAGTGGAAATTACCGGCAAGTGCAAGACTCTGCAATCATATTCTCGTACTCCTTGTACAGTATGCCTCCATTGCGCTCAATCATGAGGACACTGATGGGGCTGTAGCGGTAGGGCACACAGGAGGGCCGGGGCACATTGGCATCCACAAGCTGATGAACAAAGCTCTGCACCACAGCATGGTTGGGTGCGTGGTAGTCATAGCGGAGCAGGTGGGGACAGGTGCCCTTGCAGTAGCGTGGGTTGTAGCGGTGGGGAGCGATGATCCAGTGGTCCCAGCCCAGCTGTGCAAAAGTGACAGGGAAGGGGCGGAGGGAACAGTCACTCTTCTCCCCTCCCTGCTCCCGCAGGTAGCTGGGCAGGTCATGAGCCAATGTCCCTGTATCACGTCGGTGTCTGTGAGGCTCTGCTGCCGGAGGTGCCAACCCTGCCTGGGTATCATTAAGGTAGAGAAGAAGGAAGGGGTGGCCAGGGGACACTGGGACATCGTGGCCTCCTTCTCGGCCAGCACGCACGCAGATATGCCGCAATGCCAGGCTCCCCATGCTGCTGTTCCCCAGCACAAGGTAAGGGGTGACGTCAACTTCGGCCCAGCCATGGTGGGTACGGGCAGTAGGGCTGAGCAACAACCTGGGTGCCTCGCTGGCCACTACCAGCTCCAGAGCGCAGAGAAGGCGACCATGGGCCAGTGACAGGCTCGGCAGGTAGACCACAGTGGCTCTGAGGAGTTGCTCGGCCTCTGGCTGGCCCTCCAGGTGGTAGGTGAGGGCCTGCAAGTACCACCGACCTGCAGGGAAGCAGTGACCAGTACTCCCTTAGCATACTGCAGGAGGCACTGTACAACACCCCTTTCTCTCATGGTGCTGCTACAGCCCCACACAGCAGAGCCTGTGACAGCCATCCGCCCCAGCACACGGCAGAAGTTGCAGCAAACAGAAGCCATGAGCCAAGGCTTGCCAGTGGCACGAAGGGCAAAGAGAGTCTCCAACACCACTAGCCTGGCACAGCATCAGGTAGGGTGGGAAGGAGAGAAGGGCATGCAAGGGTCAGCAATGTGTTTGTCCATCTCATCTCTGGGGCAGAGCCTTGACTCCTGCCAAGTGGAACCCCATGGCCAAGAGCAACCCCAGCCAAAACAATGCAAAGAGGGGGAAGGAAGCAGGCAAGAGACATCACCTTCAGAGATCAAGCCTACCCTGCTAACTCCGCTAAGGCCTCGTACCACCCCTTAGTGCCCACTGGTTCCTTACCTGCCCAGGGCTGACCCCCATGGGAACTGGCCTGGACCAGGCGGATGGTGTTGGTGCCCAGGCTGCGGCTGCGGCGGGGTCGGCCTTCGCGGTCAGCAGCACGCCGGTACAGATTCAGCATGTAGCGTAGGGGCTGCCCACTGGCTGGCCCCATTTTCCAGCCTGGGCTTCCTGGAGCCCGTGTTTGCAGGGCCTGCAGGAGGGGCAGGGTGGGGGCAGCAGGCAGGGAGCCAAGGGGCAGTGGGGACTGGTTTGCAGCCTGGGAAAGGGGCACAACAAGGAGGAGGAGGAGGCTGGTGAAAGGGTGGGGCACAGCCATGATAGATGAATGTGTGTCTGGGGAGGGAGCAGGTAAGTGGGACGAGGTGGGGCTGGCCAGCAGAAAAATTAGGGAGAACCTGCAATCATGCTTCTCTCCACTTGAGAGGCAGAGCTGACTGTGGGCACCAGCAAAAGGATCCCAGGGTGCTTCCAGCTCCTATCAAAACAGGACAACCACACTAGCTGCTTCAGCTTGGCACAGGAACAGAAAGGTGGGTGATTATATATCCAAAAAAGGATACAAATTCCAGACTAAAACCCAGACCAGGAGCAAAGCTAGCCTGACAGAGCCTGGCTATGGGGGCTGTAAAGGTGCTGGGGTAGGGGAGTGGGGAAAGAGAACCAGCTTACTCAGCCCACCTGCTCCTAGCTCAACCTCCTCCTACAGGGTAGGAGGTTCCTGCCCAGGCCCCTTTTAAAGGCATGGACTCAATCAGGTTTTAAAGAGGCAGGAGCTCCCTGGGTCCCAGGGGAATGGGGCCAGACAGAGCCTGAGAGGGTGCTTCCATGCGGTGAGAATTGCTCCAGCTCCCTCCACTCTGTACTGATTCTCCAGCAGTGGCTCAGCACCTTTGTGGCCGTTGCTGCAAGCTGGTCTGCACTGCCCCAAGAAGGCACAGAGCCTGGGGTTCTGCTCCCCAGCAGGCACACAGCACAGCCAGGCTGCCCAGTGCCTCACTCTGCCCAGCTGGCACTAAGGCACATGGGTGAGCAGAGTGACCCTGAGCCCAGCAGTGCTAAGTATGTCTGGGGAACCCAGCAGTATTCCACTGTAGGCATCACCCTGCTATCACCATCAGAATGCCCGCTTTTACAGAGTGTGGTATGGACAGCTGCAGCCAGTGCCACCTCCAGAGCCCCTGGAGACCCACACCACACTGCTGCTCTCCTGCTGGGATGAAAGCAGCCAGAGGGTGAGCACGCTGGCTGGGAATCACTGGTGCAGGTACGGGGACATGGTGAGAGCTGAGGAGGTTGTTCTGGCGCCTGTTGTGCACCCTTCCTGCTGCCAGCTGAGCACAGTGCTACGGGCTGGGAGGGCTGTGTGGGGGTGTGTGTGGTGCTAAACGGGCTGTGGGGCCACGTGATGAGCCAGGGCACAGGAGCCCTCTCGCCTGGCTAAGCAGCCCTGGTTACTCATTTGGGAAAGTGCACAAGGGCAGTGAAGGTTGGGAAAAGTCTGAGCATGGCAGCAGCCAGTCATGAGTGGGGGGCATGACAAGGCAGGTGGGAAGATCATAGGGGAGAGTAGATTTGGGTCAGGGAGGGTGGATATGTCAGCAGTGGACATGTCAAGGCTGTATGGAGAGGGGACCATGCATCTCTCCTGGGTGGGCTCCGGCACTACAAATAGCCCAAGTTCCTACCACTCCACCCTGTGACACTCTGGCTGTACTGGGCTGCCTGCAGCTGGGCTGCACAGGGAGCAGGCAGAGTTCAAGGCAGGTATTTGTGGACAGGGACTACCAAGAAAAGCTTGAGACCCTTCCAGCACTGGGAATGAACAAGCCGAGGGTGGCTCACCAGCCTGGCACTGCAAGCCAACCCTCCTGGGCCGTGGCAGGCAACCAGGGGCTGCAGGCGCTCCTTGCAGAGCAGAGCTTTCCAGGCCGGCTGTGTTGTCTGGGAAGGAGATGAGTAAGAATCGTGGCCCTAGGCGGGAAGGGGAGGAACAGGACTCTCGGGCTCCCCCGGGAATCCGTGCCGATCCATTCCCACCATTCCCGGCTGCCATCCGCCACCACCTCCCTCTGCCTCAATTTCCCCCAGGCATCACAGCTGCCTCTCCTGGGCCTGGCAGGAAAAAGACAAAGGTGAAGAACGGCCAAACTGCCACTCACGCCCTAAGGTGCTCAGCAGGGTATGGACAGGATGGGGGCTGGCATGGGTAGGTCAGACAGGAGCCAGCAGCGTGCACTGGCCTGCGGGCAGTGGAGTTTGGGGTGCCAGTGTGACTGCACGGTGGGAGCTGGAGGGGGCTGCATCACCCTACTGCCACCCCCTCACACCTAAGTGCTGTCGAAGTGCCACCATGCCAGGCTAAGCTGTGCCAAGCAGGCTCTATTGGTGTGGGTTCCTGGTGGCACCACATTGTGCTGAACCAAACCAGGTCATTTTGAGCTGAACGCTGCATGGTCAAGCGAAGTCAAGCCACGCCATGCTCTGCTGCTGAGCTGAACTGTGCCAGCCCTGCTTGTCCAAGCTGAATTGTGCTGAACAAAACTGGGCCAGGCCAAGTGGAGCTAAGCCAGATGAGGCGCCTAGCTGTTCTGCGCTGTACCAAACTTAACTTTGCCAGCCCTGTGTCATGTTGAGCTGAGCTGAGCTGAGCTGAGCCAAGCCAGAATATGCCAACCCAGCTGAACTGCACCAGGGCATGCCAGGCTGAGCCATGCTGGGCCAGTTAACTCATGCTGGCCCCCCTGTCATCCCACGCTGAGCTGAGCTGTGCTGTGTTGTGCTGCACTGAGGTCTGCCATATCATGCCATGCTGGGCTGAACTGGACCGAATTGAAATATGCTGCCTTGGCTGTACCAAGCTGAGCCAAGCAGCTCAGTTTAGGTCCTTGGGATAAAGGATGGCATGCCAAGCTATTTCTATTGAATAGAAAGGTGCTGTGCTGTGCTATTGTGTGCAGAGCCATGCCACGAGCTGTGCCGTGCCGTGCCGTGCCGAGCCGAGCCGAGCCGGCCGCCGCCGTCCCCCCGCCCCTCATTGGCGGCGGAGGAGCAGTCCCGGTACGGGCCGGCCCCGCCCCGCACTCGCCCCGCGCCGCTCAGCCCGGGCGGGCGGGGGTGTCATTTCCTCCACAGCTCGGGGCCGGGTCGGGATGGGCTTGTAGCTGTAGCCGCCATGGAGCGGGCCGAGGGCCGGCCCGGCGCCCCCCAGTACGTGCATGTGCAGCTGCAGGGGGGCGCGCCCTGGGGCTTCACGCTGCGCGGCGGGCTAGAGCACGGCGAGCCCCTCATCGTCTCCAAGGTAGGCACCGGTGGCACAGTCCCGCGTTGGCTCCGCTGCATCCCCCCGCGAGGGGCCTCCCGCCCGTGGTGGGGCGCGGGAGATGGGAGGACACCCGGGGCGCGGCGGCGTCGGAGGTGTGGGGAGCCCCGGCCGCGGGATCTCGTGTCCTGGCGCGGCGGGACGGGTGCGGCCACTCGCACACACGATCCCCGCGACCCTCCACTTAGAGCTGCGGGGAAGAGTGAGAGCGAGAGGGGCGGAGGGACAGCTCGGGCCCGGCGGCAGGAAGAAATTCCTCTGGCACATCCGTTGGGCTGGCGTCGGGGGCGGCCCCCACATTCCCCTTCACGTCTTTCCCGGTCCCGTCTCGCGGGCCGTAGCCGGGGGAGGTCAGTCCGCTGTGTGCCCATCCGTCGGTGCCGCGCCCCTGGGCGCCCCAGGCACCGGGCTCTGCGGGGACGTTTAGGGCCACGGTGAGGGAGCCAGAGTCCGTCCCGTCATGCCCCGGCACCCCTGGAACGCAGAGCAGGACCGTGTCCGGGACGGGGTTGGCGCCGGGTTGCGATGCCGAGCGGAGCTCGGCCTCGGCGGGGAGCGAATGCGGAGGGTGATCCCGGCGGTCCCGACGTTTCGCCACACAGAGGGTCATCGATCCCCGCGGCCCCCGCCAGCGCATCGCCCCGTAGGGAGACTCGCAGGGAGACCCGCGGAGAGCCGGGCAGCGCCCAGGGGAACTCCAATAGCCACTCCTCCACGGAGCCCGGACAAGGCTCTGTCGCCGGACGATTTGGCCGCCTGCCCGCCCGGTGTCACCGTCCTGCTGAGCCGGGGTGCGGCGGGCCGGGCTGGCGGCCCCGGGGCTGCTCGCTGCCTCGAGCCGGGCTGACTGCACCCCCGGGCCGTTCCACGCCCTCGGCGGGACGCGGGCAGCGCGGTCTGGCTGGGGGAGCTGGAAAAGTGGCTCCGGTCCCAGTCCCGCGCCCTGAGGTGGCACCGCCGGCGGGTGGGGAGCCGGGCGGGAATTGCCCGCTTCCCGACTCGCTGCCCGCCTTCGGAGTGGTGGGTTCCTGTGGGTCCGCCGGTTGCCGGAGGAGGGGATGGGAGGTCCCTGCGACGTTCCTCGCCACTTTGAGAAGGGGGTTGGCTTGCGGGCCGCGGGGTGTCGGCCCCCGCGCTCCCACGGACACGCCGCTACCGCGTGTGCTCGGCAGACAAAAGGGGCTTGTTCCAGCTCTCTGTGCATTCAGGGGAGGCTCTCCTGGGACCACCATTCCGCCGCTGCGGCCGGCCGAGGCGTGTGCGGAGAGGGGCCGGCCTCTGCCTGGGGCTCGGCGGGCGCGAGCCGGAAAGGGGAAGGGCGTCCCCGCACTCGGTGACAGAGTTTGGCCTCTGAGCCCACTCCAGGCGGGATCCCTTCCTGTGGCAGAGTCCCACGGCGCTGCTCACACGCGCTGTTAAGCGTTCCATGGGGGCTGCGAACGCCCTCCGGCACGGGCTTCCCCGAGCACGTCGGGGGCAAGGAGGGAGGTTGGTGTGGGGCACGGTGGGCGCAGCTCTGGCACTGTTCTGGTTGTAACTGCTAAGACAAGTTTCTCCTGAGACAGACAGACATTCGCGTGAGCCATCTGGTGCCCACCATTAGGGACCATAGTGGACTCCAGGGATGGTGTTAGGGAAGTGTCCTAGGCTGGCTCAGCCAGGCAGGGCAACAGGCAGTGGCTTTGGCTGCCAGTGCTGAGTTCACTGGCGGCAAAGGCAGAACAAGGGGCTGTTTGTGCCAAATTTAGCTCCTGGTGAGTTATGCCAGGACGGAGCCTGTCCATCCCGATGCATGTGATGGCCCAGACATGGGTGCAGACCTGGTGGTGTCTTGCAGCAGTGGGGACGCCTTTCACCACTGACTCACCCCCGTGGCTGTGACAGGCAGGACTGGGTGGGCACGTGGCTGGACAGAGGACTGAGGTGCAGGTGCAGCCTACCTTGCATGCTCTGCTGGTGCCCAGTGGAGCTTGGGCACCAGGTACTCCATCGACGGC